GAAGGCATCACAGTAGGCATATCTATATGAGGGTACACACCTTGTTATCTTCCGTGTAGTTTACTTGGACTACCCTTGTCTCTCAATCCTCCTCATCCCTCCTTATATTCCATGTCTCACAGGCTGTGATCTACAACCGAGCAGCAAAGGGGAAAAGAGTCTACTACTCTCCTTCTTGCAGAAAACCTTAATGGATCTATTGATGAGGAAGCCAAAGGAGAAAAGGAAGGGGTTGGAAATGATGTATCAGATGGCAAAGATGACCTTTTTGCTTCTCGGCTTGGTTTCTGCAGCACTAGTCCCTTACTCCCTCGACGTCTTCCGCTCTCTTCGCAGTCTCTGGATCCTCTCCCAGTTTGCCATCTTCGTCATCTGGAAGCTCTCCAGCACCAAGAACGGTGAAGAACATCGACCCAGCAATGTTCTCGACCTCACTCTTCCTACTCTGATCTCTGATGACTCACCGGAGACCTGGCTGGATGTCCTTCCCTCCCCGACCTCCGAGACTTGGTACGATGTCCCTTCCTCCCCACCCACTTCCACCACCTTCTCCTGCGCTAGTCCGTACGAGACGGAACCCTCGCCGCCGGAGATCGAGAAGGTGATGATGGAGCCTCCGGACGAGCATAAGACGATCGATGACACATGGAACGCAATCATGGAGGGCGGTAAGCGGCCGGCGAAGAGTGCGCTGAGGCGACATCGCCGTGAGGAGCAGGGATCGGAGACGACGGTTCCCGGAAAAGGGCTGAAAGGGCCCGAGATGCCGAACGAGAAGGTTGCGCCGGTGGTGATCAATGAGGAGGTGGGGTGGAGGAGACGGGAAGTCCTCGTGGTCGGCCGAGACGAGCTGTTCCAACGGGTGGAGACGTTCATCAAGAAGCACTACGACCATCTCAAGCTCCAGCGCGAGGAGTCGGCGCAGCGCCGCTTCTTGGAGAGGCTTCGTTGGTCCGCGTAGTACAGTCTCTATACTTCCTCCTTTTGTGTCTCAACCTACATCACCATTATTCTTCATCTCTTGAAACCTTCACAGCCACGCATTCTGTTCTAAAGTTGTGTGTCTGCAAGCGTCGCCATTGCAGAAGTGCCGCTGATCTGCTACCAGTCATGGTGTCAAAGTTTTGTGTGTAGATAGCTCATGTAATGAGACCTCGGTGTAAATATGCTACTGGAAACTCTTCACTACGTGAAGCATCGTCTCTATGTAACTCTCCTTGTGAAATCTAAACTTAGTCGGACGTGCTACTTCTTCGCATTGCCTCAGCGCTCCATTGCTTCTCCCATAACCTAACTTTCTTCTCCTGTAATTGGTGAACGCAAAGATAATATGCACACAAAAAGGTCGAAGCATATTATTTTGGTCATGTTGTTCCAAAAACATTGGAGAAGTCACCCAAACCATCCAAAAACTTCTCCATCTAGTTGAATGGGTTGGCAACTCCTAACTCTGGATCAAAAAGGGAAAAAGGAAGAATAAGAAAAGCTTCCTTTTCACAAGCTTATCTTCTGCGAAACATCAATCTTTCGCAAGATATATTTGCATGACTTGGTCTGTCGAAAATGACATGTTGCATTTGTTTAACATTGACTCTAGACCGAATGCTTTACGTGGGTTAATGATGGGGGTTCCCTAACCCAGGATATTATCTGAGTCTGATTAAGAATTGCTGGATTAGGTAGGGTTAGCTACTTGGTCAACTCTCACTGCTTGCCTGAGCCCTACTCCTTCAAAGAAGATTGGTCGTCACTTGTTCATGGTGATATCACAAATATGTCATCTGCAATCAAAGCTCGTCTTTCTTACTGAATCACCATGTTACTTTCTGATACTTTTCTTTATCTTCCACCTTTCAGGTGATGTTATTGCATTAAACTCACTTTCGTAATTACCCAACCAAATCTTAGACTTCCAACGCGTTTCGGCATCAGGATTAATTTCCAGTCTCTGTCATGTGTTGACTTATTCAAAGGTGATCAAGTAAACAATATATTATATACGGTACATGAAAACGAACAGATGTGAGAAGTTATCAGAAAGTCTAGAAGATGAAAGATCAAACAATTCTACAGCAGCAAAGATAGTTGGAGAAATTACTCTGAAAGTAGGCAATCTTTAGCATGATTGACTTGCATGCAGTCAAGAACAACTGATTTCATATGCTGGGTATGATAAGCATTTTTGGATTCTTGGAGTTAAATATAAGAAATTCAAGCATATAAAGACTTCTACATTAATTAGATATTCCTTAAATATCATTTGTGTGGAAAGATGGAGGACTAATATTTTGATGAGAATTTTTTGAAGGATTTATGTGAAATGATGTGCAAAAGGAAAAGAAGCTTTGATCTTTAGTTTGAGTTACATTTAAGAAGCTTATAATTGATGTTCTTCATGGATGTCACACAAACCAGGTAAATTCTACGTCGAGCATTATTTCTCTGTGTTCATGTTGTATTGTTGATGCCCATGATAGTTCGTCTGGTCTCAAAATCAAGTAAATATGAGATGATCATTTCTCGTTTGTACAGCAAAAGTTTGCGACATTTGAGAGGTTAATTAATCTCGGCTGCATTAGCCAAACTTATTTTATACCGATCTTAAGGATGATATGAGTCAAACCTACCTGAAGTCCCTAATTTGACTCGACTCGAGCATATAGGAGGCTTTCATGTGTGGTTCAAAGACTATTAATGTGTCTCCTTATATATATTTATATTGCAGAAGTTTATTATTGTCTTAAAGCCATTCGGCGGACGAGTAGTTGGCAACTCGCCATCAGCTCGGAGCGTTGACGAGCCATGGAGTCCTAATCACTACCCCACTGCTGCACCGGTCATTGATTAGCAGCATATCTACTATGATTCACGCAGGAGGAACTAAGCGAAAATGACACTGAATTAGGCTGAAGAAAAGAATAGAAGATAAGAACAATTATTGAAGAAGCTTTATTGAAGAAATGTAGAAAGATTTCCTCGTATAGTTGGAGAAATCTTATCTTCTATCATGCCCCCGCAAGATGGTGCTCCTGATAAGGATACCAATCTTGGATCGATGCAAAGAATTGTTTACAAGCAAGAGACTTCGTGAGTAGGGCAAGAGCAGATCACTGCTATTGTTGCGATTGCTGTTGCTGTGAGGGCACAGGCGTTCTCTTCGTTCTCCTTAAGTCCGTCCTTCGTTCTCCTTAAGTCCACCGACTGTTAGCAGATCAGCGAAGGCTACCGAGGTGAGGAAGATGAGGATTGGCCGTGGAGCCTATTAGGAATGTGGCTACAACGGCGTTGGTCGCTGGTCGAAGACAAGGGCAAAGCTTCGCTTTTTTCAACGACGTTGGTTGTTGGCCAAAGGCAAGAGTGAAACTTCGCTTTTCCCACTGTTCTGATACCATGAAGAAAAGAATAGAAGATAAGAACAATTACTGAAAAAGCTTTATTGAAGAAATGAAAAATATTTCAATACATTATCCCTCTCCTATTTATATATATTAGGAGAAATGATTTCCCTATCTTCTATAAGAGGCTACCACGTTAATGCCTTCGCCTGCGAAGTGAGTTCTTTTTCTTCCAGTACTTGGACGCAGCTGCAAAGATCGATCACAAGTAGAAATGCTAAATACTGTCTTGGGCTTTCAGGCAGATAGAAAAGGGATGTGGCTCGTTGATTCAGAGGACTTGCGCATGCTTTCGCGGTTGACCTGGAGTCAACGTGTATAAGAGAAAACCTCCGGATTCTTTGTTTTCCTTTGACATGTAGTTCTTGTCGTTCTTGACAATGCTCATCTTAATGTGAATGAAAGAAGTTTTGGCATCTTAGGGAAGTACAGAGAAGAAACCAGTGTTTCTAGATCTTGGATTCTTTGTGGCGTTTAGTCGAAGAAAAGGAGCCCCCCTGTTTACACATTGTCATTGTTGTTGTGCCATGCTTTGCCACTTGCAGCGACAGCTGACTTTGAGATGCACTATTAGATCTCATGGACGTTAAGATAAGTTTGTGACGTAGCAACTAGTCGTCATCTATCTTGATCATGTCGAATGGCTTCCGAAAGGTCAAGTCAATAACTCCCCAAGGAGCCGACACCAAACATCAATGTCGTTCTCAGCCACCCATCATGTAACGTGGAGTAAATACACAGGAAAAATTATGATGTGCACGATACAGCGATAGTTCTTTGTTTTTTTTTAATTGGCCAATGATTTTTAAAATAAAAATGAGTGACCATATGAGTAGAATTATTGATCAGATTACAAATGTATATTCTATGTCGGATACCAATAAGATAAAATTTCTAGTCACTAGGTTTGTGGATGGATGTCGACTACAGAATCCACGACCAAATCTTGCATAGCTGACCGTACTTAAAGAAGGGACAAATTCGTCGTCTGTCATGTCGTGGGTTCTGTGACTTCCTACCGAGTTGAAATTGGCAGTAAAGCCACATTTCTGCTATGGTATCACAGTTCTACCAAAATGTAGACATTAGCAACAGATCTTGTTTAACATCATTCTTCAGTGTAATAGGCATTTATGATGTGGTAGAACACCTAAGAAGATCAAATCCCGAATCCGAAAACAATCTCCTTCAGTGTAATAGGCATTTGGAAGGCTACCAAATCTCATCTCAATTGCATTTCAATTACGTATCGATCCGACAACATACCGATACGTGGACCGTCCGCTATCGAATGGATCGTACTACAGTAATAAATTGTAACAATACTATAGTGCTACAATGGTTCACTGTAAAGTACTACAGTAGGAGAAAATAGCTCGATAAACCTTGATATACCGTTCGGTACGTCCTGAGGTACCGTATCATACCGAGCTAACCTCGAAATACCGATACGATACGATATTACATACCTTGATCTCAATATTGTATCAAGGTTCTCAAACATGATGCAACCCTAGTTAAAGATCACGTCCATTGAAATAAACAAGCATGAGTTCTGTGCACTCAGGCCCATTGCAAACAAATATATCAATTGATAGAGATTACTTTGGAAGAGCACTTCAAAACTTCTAGTTGGAACCCCAGTTAATAAAAATGTGGCATCCCATAAACCCAAACCCAGTTTTGATCAGCTGGCACACAGGTATAACTTACAATCACAGTGACGGCCTCAAAAAGAAATCTTCAGTTCATAGTGTTTGCAGTCTATTTGTTTACTGGGTTTTACTAATCCCATGGTCCACAATGACATCAATACTGTATTATAAGTTCTTTAAGACCACCAACATATCAGATAGCTCGCCATCCACAGGTTCTGTTATTCTCAACGGGCTTCGTATTGCACAACTGCATCATTTGAAAAACAAACTATTAGTACAGGGAAAAGATTCATGGACATCGTTGCATCAAAAAAATGTCATGCAGGTATATAAACAACAAAAAATTGCTTTAAGGATAAAAACAAGCATATTCTTTGTTATCATTTCAAACCCATAATATATGAAGAAATGAAACAGTTTAAAGATGACTTCAGGCTTTCACCAACTTAGTTGCGTGATTCATACTTGATCCCATGAACATAACTGAAAACAGTGCCACCAGACAGGACAATTGAGCCGGCTTTAGTTCAATGATGAAAATCACTATATTCTTTTCTAATCCCACTAAATGAGACTCAGCTATCTCTGAAACTGTCTTGCCTAAAGTAACAGTTTGCATGATTTGCTGCATACCGTATTCTGTACACTATGTTTACATTGCATAGGATAAATAAATTGGGGCCAAAGTTGCTGTCTGATGCATTTTCACATTATGACAATTTATATTTGAACAATGTTCAACTTTGACATTCTAAAGAAAAAAGATAGCATCAGGCACATCAGTCAGATGCAAATACATACCGATTTCTTTTCAATCTAAGGGGCATACAACAATCATTCAACATTCTTTTATGTCTCCTCTCCATTTTAACCATTTCACCTTAACTCTACAGCTAATATCTTCATCAATCTCCAAAAACTCCAATTCTGTTCAAAATTATAGTTAATAACATATTTAAAATCTTACTTCTATCACCTTTTTGACTATTTCTTTTGATTACACCCACAATTCTTCTCTAGATATTGCTAAAATTGCACTTCATAGTTTGATCTTAGTTTCACTTAGTCTAAAACTCATACTTATATAAGATTAATTGCCATTTTCAAGATTAGGCACTCTAGATGCAAAAGATTTACCTAGCTTAAAGCTAAGCGAGGATTAAAAAAAGGAGAAAGAACAATTCAAGTTTAAAATTAATCAATACTAGATAGGGTCATGGCAATTTAGCCAAAGATTTATTCTATGCTTGAAGCTCCCAACTATATCCTTGTATTTTTATCTACCTTTTGCCTTGAATTATTGCACCTAAAATAAAGATAAGCCCCATTTTTCTGTGTGCCAACCTTTGTTATGTTGTTTGGCATCAGTAAGCAGTGGCAGCTCCAAACTTAATATAGGACTAATGTAGTAAAAGTTTAAGCAGTATTAGTAACATCATTAAGAGAACAAGAATGCATTTCTCATCAAGTATCGTCAATAAGCTAGAACTGTAGAAAAAGAGGCAATCTAAAAGGAAATAGATGTACAAAAACAGGAAATTTAAATGAAAAAATAACATTCATACTCCATATACATGTTGTATGGGGATTTTCACTGTAAAATCCCAGATAACGATTTTACACATAAACACCAAATCTTTGAACATATAGTTGCTGGTATACGTTATACAAAAGCACCATAAAACAATTAAGAGCAAAGAGATGAATCATCATCAAAATATAGACTCAAAAAAAGCAGATGACCAATGAATCCACTACAAAACAACTAGTTAAGTCATTTTTCTACCTATCCTTCAATTCATTTGCAAAAGCATAAATTTCCACACGATCAACCAAGAAAACCCACCAAAAACAACAAATAATTAGGGCTGTGGCAGCGGTATCTATGAAAAAGATGATACAATTGACCAAGACATCAGAGTTACAACACCATATGTCAAAATATATTAGTTACAAATAGAAGCGGCCCTCCGCTCTTCAGCCATCAATGATCAACAAACTAAGACCTCGAGCAAAGACAACACGAAGTCTAAAGGAAAACTGAATACTACATACCTCTCCGAGTGCGCTTCTTGTAAAGGATGCGATATCCACACTCCCTGCACTGTATCACGTCCCCAGGCTTCAGCGTGTTCTCCGCTCCACAATCTGCAATCATGTTCGTTCCAATTTTTGACATAATCAAGACCATCAAGCAACGGATAACATCACAATAACCAAAAACTCCTTCGATCAAGGGAAAAAGAACAAGATCTTGCACCTCCACATATGTAACTAACAGGTTCAGGCTGCAGGGGATCCATGACTCAGGAAACAAAGGCTAGGGTTTGACCAGAAAACAAAAGAAAGCAACCGATCAGGATCCATCGAATAACAGAACGAAATCCAATTGATGAGCGATGAACTATAAATCATACTCTTCTAGAGGAGAAAGAAACGGGATCGTCGAGCGCTCTAGGCTTGCGGCGACCAAGGACAGAACTACCGACGGCAGCCAAGGCGTGTTTTGGTCAGCAAGCCGCCGCTTACCATTATTATAAACGGGGAAAGCGTGACTCGGGCTAACCCGGGATGACTTACGAGCGAACCGGACGAGCCAACCTGGTTAGAGTAATATTGATAAATCTATTTTATTTGCCTACCCTTGAGGCCTACCTGCCTTATGATTGGTTAGATAGAGTGAGTCCCAATGTTATCCTTCACATTCTTCAATGACATAGCGGGTAGGGGAAAGGTGATGTGTGTAATGGTAAGGCAGCTTAGGACTCCTGCCAGGCGGGGAGGGGAGGCCGCTCCTTAAGAACACAGATTAGGGCTGAGTCTCCACACTGAAACCGTAATCCTCCCTCTTTTTGGGTGCCTCTGTTCGTCTGATCTGCAACCTTCCGAAGGAGGAGAGAGTGATGGTCTGCATTAACGATGCCCTCACTGACGATGAGCTCTGAGCGGTGCTCGCTCGGCTGGAGGAGGAGAAGGAGCGGACCTTTTCGGGCTCGTCTGCAAGCGCTGGCTCCGTTTGCAGAGCTCTGAAAGTCGCCGACTCAGGGCCCGGGCTGGCCCTGTCATGCTCCGCCGAATGGCCGACCGGTTCACGGGCCTCCTGGAGCTCGACCTCTCTCAATCCGCCTGGAGGTCGTTCTACCCTGGATTCCGGAATTTTCGTGTGATTGATCTCCAGAACTGTAAAGGTGAGTTTTTTTCTGCTCAGTCGATGTGATGGTCTGTAGTTCAATTGTTTGGTACAGATTTTTGTGTGGTTGATCATGTCTACTTATTGAACTAGTTAAAATAAGAACCTTCTTTGGAAGACGACTACTATGTTCCGGAGCATAGTCAGCCCACGGTTTTCACTATGTTTGCACATCGTTGTTAGCAATCAATGGTGGGCGGAAAAGTAAAATAAGAACCTTGCTTGGTTGTAGCATCTGCGCGGAATGGACCTCGTGTAATGGCCAATGGTGATTATTTTGGTGACTTATGTAAGAAATTGTTGTCTTAGACAATATACAGCATATTATTTGCTTCTTAATGGTCCATTTAAAAGGTGATTTGTGCTTTTCAATGGTTTCGAATGTGTGATACGTTTAACTCCTTTGTGAGAGAAAGGAGGTGTTAGAGTTGATTTTGGGTTGTCCGAGCTGGAGGCCAACTTAGATCCAACCTGATTCCTTCTCGAGTCGGTCTTAGGGAAATTTGCCAAGCTAGATGTTCAATCCTTGTAAAACGAAGTCGGGGGATAGTCTCGATAATGCCCCTCCGACCTCAAGTTAGGCAAGTTGGACTAGTCGAACGGATCGAATTTTGTTTGTTGTTTTGTATTGTGTATTGGGTGTCCCTATGTGATCTTTTTATAGTGATTGCCTGAGAGGGGAGCATTACACAGTTTGTTCAGTGAGAAGTGGTTATAATACCCCGACGACCTCGGGTTGTTATATTCGCTTGTTATGTTGGTTGAAATTGCCATCAGTTGGAGCTAACATCGAGCGGTTCTACCAGTTTAGCTTGACCATGTGTGGACATGTGGCGAGGGAGCCCTTGCTGGGTAGATGATGAGAATGATGGCATGGAGTGCTGACGAGTCAGCCACATAAGCTGTCGACAGGGCCACCATGTCGTTCTTGCTCTAATAGGAGGTATAATTTGGTGTGAAAATGTCATTTTTGGTTATGATATAAGATTCGACTTCATGCTCTAGACATGGCAAAACATTAGGAAACACCGATTGCGATGACTTTGGCAGTCATAGCTCTTTGGATACTCAAGCATGCACCTTTGTAGTTTATTATGGTTCATTTACCATTAATGCATTGTGAACTATTCTTTGTGTCATTTTACTTGATGTGTTTAAATTCGAATATCTTGTCATACAATTGATTTTGTTTCAAGTGTTTTTCCCCTTTAGTTTTACCTCTGGAACTTCATGATCTTATATGATGATGCTTATGACACATGCCCGTTATTTTAGTTGTCTGTGATTACTGTTGTTTCTCCATGATGTTTTATCTATATTGTATCAGTGACAAACCTCATTGTCTTCTTTATTAAACTGACATGCAACCTTTGGTAAGTTAAATATTATAATAGAATTTGTCATTGTGTCATGTTCTTCTAGGATTTTACTTAATTCAGTTATCATGAGAAAATAGGTTATTTTGCCCTGGACTCTAAGAGTAATATAATCTATATTCCTTCTGTTCCACAGGTGTCACTGATGTTGGGATAACTACTCTGGGAAATGGCCTCTAATCCATCCTGTCCCTTGATGTTTCCCAGTGCAGAAAGGTTACAGATAAAGCTATTGCTTTGGGTTTTTCGGATTTGAAAAGGTTGTACATGACAGGATCCAGATCTGTTACAGATGAATTATTAAAAGCTCTGTCTAAGAGCCGTGATACGTCGAAGATATAGGGTTGGGTCGATATATTAAGGTTTTAGATGTGAGCAAATTGGCGATGTTGGAGTTTCAAGAGTTGCTGAGGTTGCATCATCGTTGTTGAAAATTCTGAAGCTGTTGGACTGTTTCAGGGTTGGCCATGAATCCATATTTTTATTGATGGATGCCGTGATGTTTCGGAAGAATCCATAAAATCCCTGTCACCTGCTTGTTGCCACAGCTTCAGGAGTTCAAGGATGGACTGCGTTTCCTTGGTATGTGTGCTGTCAACTTGTAGACATCTTGTGGCTCTTGACATGGGTTGGCTGTGACACAGTGACAGATTCGGCTTTACGGTCACGGGCAATGGGTGTTTTTGAGTCCCAACTGACGGTTTTAAAGATGAGCAACCGCATGAAGATCACAATTTCCGGTGTAGGCTCGATATTGAAATCTTGCAAATTTCTGGATTACCATGAGCTGCGATCATGCCCGCATATCACAAGGTTGGGTTGCCAGGAAGCTGGATTGCTGTAAAACAAACTATGATGGTTGCCTAGGTGAAGGTTGATGTCTTGTTTTAAGACCTAGACGAAGACGATGGAACTCTGATTCCCTGGAGGTGCTTGCCTGCGAGGTCATGTGGCACCATCAACTGCCAATTATTTGCAACCATGAGAAAGCAAGAAGTGCAGGTTCTATCAAAATCTCCAATAATTGTTCTCTCTTGGGTATGTCAATATTTGGAAGCTAGAACTTATACCTATCTCGATTCAGCTCAATGTTCATAAGGATTTCCTTTACAAACTGGAACTTGTAGATGTATTGTTGCTGCAAATATGGACAGGTGGGTGGGCCGACACCAGCTAACGTGATCCTCTCGTGAGGATGAAAGGCAACGGAAGCCCGTGATAGGTAACCTGCTGGGCCGGGACCACCGGACCCGTGGACCTGGAGAACTTACCGATCACGCCTCCTTTTCGTACGTGTCGATAGGTGGACGGCCGGATGTCTGCTTCAACGCCCTTTTGAGGGCCAACATCTGATGGCGTAGTTCGGTCGCGCCCGCTGCCCGAGGGAACGAGCCTCGACCACCCACGTGAGAAGCACGAGGTGGCGGACCTCTCCTTGCTGGCCATCTGGCCATGTCTCCATCCGTCGGGCCACGCGTACGGTGGAGGATTCACCGGAGGCGGTCCCGGCTCGGATGGGGTCGCTCCTTCTCCGAGTGCCGACATTCCCCGCGACTGCGGTCACGAACAGGGGATATCTTGCGCCTGTCACCGGGTAGAGGGACGTGACGTCGGGGCGGTGAGCTGGGTCGTAACATATGTCGATGTCACCACCGTGGGGGGGTCCCTTTTATAAGATTAGCACGTAGGGCCATCGCCCTCTAAGTTTTCGAACATGATGAGAAGACACGTCTTCTCATGCGCATTAAAAGGGGCGTAAGGTGCATCCACGGGCATCATTTACTTCATTGCGGAGTAATTGCACCGGACACGCAGTACATACACCACCGTAGACTTGTGCTGTTTTGACATCACAGAACAGGCCACCCACATTATAGCGTGATCTTTCTGCTGTATCATGGCATCAGCTGGACCACACAAAAAATGGATTTCCAAGAATAATAGCAATTGAAGAACTTGCAGATGTCGTCATGCCGTGTTCTTGGTGGTAGGATCTGGTCACAAATCGACAGAAGAAGTATTCGATAACTGTCGTCATGGTAATTTGTGATGGGAAGATTTGGCGCACAGTGGTAGAATTCTTTGGATCTCAGTCAGCAACAGCAACAGCACAGGAGAGTCGTCCAGCCAAATACTACCTTTATATAGGCCACTCGGGCGCCGACCTTTTGGACTGTCTTAACTTTTCTCCCTCGTCGCTCTGTTCTCTTCGCTACTCCGTCCATCCTTGAAACTGGGATCGAAAACGAGATACGATTCACATGTAATATCCTTTCTTATGATGACTTCTTTTGAATCTATCCTCGGATGTTTATCTGTTCTTTTTCTGGTTTTGTAAGGTTGTTTTTTTTTTTTATCTGTCTTGGATGTTTCTGTGAACACGATTGGGAATCTTCTGCTTGGGATCAGATGAACAGCTTCAAAAAAAGAAAAAAAAAATAGATAAGTGTAAAGTTATCATCTTTTCTGGCTCAGCTTGTTCCTTGTTTTGTCTTGTTTCCCTGGTTTTCCAATACAAATCTGTGACTTAGATTTCAGGTGGGAAACTTCTCCAAACATGTTTTAGCTTTGGAGAAAAAAGGTCACTTTTTTCTGGTTCAACTTCCTTTTATCTTTTCTTGTGCTTTCGAATCATATGCCTTGTTCTTGGGGTAATTTGCATTGCCACTTATGTCTGTGTCTGGCTATCTTTTCCCCTCTCTATCTTCATCGGTGCTCATCTGTTGCTCTGACTTGAGAAGCAATTATGCAGTGTGCTTATCTTGTCATATGGTTGGCTGGAAAGATAAAAGAGATGGACGGTGCTGCCTTGCCACTTTGTCAGCAGTGCTCGTGATCTTTTGGACCACTTTCTGGAGAGATTACATGTGAACGAGCCCCATGAATCACCTACCTGTTGGTTGCATTCAATCTGCCCACTCTTTTATCAGCTAATCTGTGAGGCTTTACATCCGTATCTTCCTTTTTCAATGCTACTCTTCCCTTAGCAGTCACGTAACTTGACATGTTTTCTTGTTGACACTGCAAATAGCACCTCGATTTGTCTCGTTTCCGAGAATTTCTATGTGTTCTCACTGCATTGTAAGCAGATTTGATGGAATCTTTCTTCTTGTTGTTCATGTACCAAGACTTCCTTTCTTGCCTCTTGTTGCAGAACTAGATTTGTGGAAATGGGTTGTCTGCTATCGACTCCCGGGGAAGCCAGTCCATTGAGAAGGGCTGCAAGTATTGGGGAGGTGGCCGTGTTTGTGCCCGGATTCCGCATCCCTGAAAGCGTAGATTTGTCTCAGCCACTGGGTGATTGTTTGTCGAGAGGCCTTCTCGATCGCCTCTCGAGTCTAAGAACTCGTATGGTCACCATGGCTGCTCAAGAAGCACGACGGTTCACAAAGCCAAGGAGAATAACAACTACAAGACATGGTTTGTGACTCTGGGATATGCATCTCTTCTAGTTCGATTTGTAGAGATAGTTGCGACGCTATAATGCATTTGATTTGTGTGCAGGTTCTGCCTTGAGCGAACTTTTGCGTGCTCTTGAGGATTACTTGCCTGTTCTTCTGGGACTAGTGAAGGATGGTAATTGAACCAGTCACCTCATAAGGTTGTAGCTATTTGTTTGTGCTTGTGGTTGCGGCATGCTTACAGAATCATGAAATTGATTGGTGTAGGTTGCCAATTGAGAGACAAGGTGCCGTTTGTGTGGATTAACCAGGAAGATGATGCAGAGGTTAGTCGGTATCTTTTGACCTGTTAGTCCTCCTGCAAGTTGATTTCCTTGATTAAGATCAAGAAGACACTGAGATTGATTTGTTCTGCTAATTCTCTATGAAGGAAACTGCCATGACAAATGCTTGGTATGAGGTGTTGTCTGTGCTACATTTGATGGCTATGCTATCTTTGTTGCAAGCCAATAGGTTGCTTCTTCCCAAGATATCCAGCGAGGGTTATCAGCTAAAGATATCTGAAGGTGGGTAGCAACAGTAGGTCATATGATTCATGGATCCTCATCTTGTATCACAAATTTTTTGCGTACATGATTGTGAATATGTTATGATGTGAGATTTTGAACCTTCATTGTGGAATTTATTATTTGCTTGGAAAGTCATGGAAAATTAGTTTTTTAAGCAATTCCAGCTTCTTTTCTTTCTTATGGCTTCATTTATCGATAAAAGAGTATTAACGAACATGACACTGATGAAGTTGCACCATGAAACCTACTCATTTCCCATTGTTTGTAGAAGATAATTGCACAAACTCATTTTTTGCACTGACATTGACTACAGAGAACAGAAGAAAATCGATTGATATTTTGCTGAAGGCAGCAGGGTATTTGGATTGTGCCATTCGACATGTGCTCCCTCAAATAACTCCAGAACACAGGTTTATTTATCTTGAGGTCCTTCTCATCACCAACTTCATTGATAGCCACTTGTCTAATTATCTTATGAATCATCAAGCCTCTTGGTATTCTGTTTTGGGGATATCCTAAAACTTCAAACATGATATATTTTTGATTTTTTTTCTCATTTTATTGTGTGAATATTCTGAGTTTTCTTTTTTTCTTTTCAATATTGTGCAGGAAGGACCTTCCACTGGACCTGGAAGAAGGAGTTCTTCGAGCTCTATGTTTGCAAGCTCTGGGACAGGTACTTCTTGTTCACTGTTGTCATTTGGCGTGCAATTAACATAATGTTCGAACACTGTATCCTTTAGAGAGCAATCAAAGCAGCTAATGGCCTTTTTATTATGTTGCCAATGTCTGCTTTTAACAATCACATGAACCCAAAGAAGTTGAAGAATGCACTAATTATCAAGCACAGCAAGTATGGCTGACACATGCAAGTTTGCTTAGTTTCAATTCCTCTCACAAATGAACAATTTTAATCAGGTAGGGAAACTAATTTGCCACTGGCTCACTCATTCTCCATTTTACGTGGTTGACAGTGTGTTGATATCCAGCTTGGGATGGCAATAGATAGTCCCAAGGCAACGCTTGCTGTGAAAAGGCGATTAGCGTGTGAAATGGTCAATTACTGGCATCAGGTATCAGCTATAAACTCTTCCATGTCTGACTGATATTAATTCTTTGTTGTTTTCCTTGTCCAGATTAGCTTCATCTTTGAACTCCTCTGAACTCGCTGTACCAAACTGACATTGTACATCTATAATCTATGTTATGTAACCCTGTTGCCTGATATAGATTGATGATTAAAAGTGATGCCCATTCCTAAATATGGCATCTTCCATTTGTGTTTTTGTAAATAAACTATACGACTTTATCTGTTGTTCGGTTCGATATTTTTCTCAGTGCTTGTATGTCCCTGATCTCTGGAATTCGTTCTAACATTTCCCATTAAATTCCATTGCTTCACTGGCAATGTAGTCAATGCTGAGATATGTGTGAAACTCATGTGAAATGTCCTGGACCTATTCTAACGTTTACAGGCTCAGAACAACATAGCAAAGCTTCCTTCTACAGATGGCTGGGCTAAAAAGCATCAACTCTTTATTAAGTGGAAATATGCTGAAGCAAAGGTATGTCCTGCTTCTTTTTTAACATGTCCATCACGTATTAAAGTTAAAGGTTTTAAGACATGGATGGTGAAAAGTGTTATTGTAATTGTTTGTCTATATTCAGTTGGCCTTTTTCTCCTGTAAAAGTCTTTGTAGAATACAAATAGTAGCTCAAATGATGTATGAAGACACTTTATCCTAACCATCCAAGAAAGGAGATTTGTACATCATATATAGATATATTTATCCTACAAATATGATCTCCATTTGACTGCTTTGATTTTAAAGAAAGGAAAAGGTTTCTTGTTGTGAAAGCTCCAGAACTTAAGTTCTGGTCATTCAGCTAGCAGAAGCTCCTTCTGTTGCTTTCCCTCCACTTTCAGGTCTTGAACATATTAAATAGAAGAGATTGAATTAGAGATGACGATAGGTGAAGAATTAGTTTTTTTTTTACATGAAATATTAAAATGATCTAGGAATTTGCTTGCACCATATAATTTAATTATACTCATCATTTTTCATGTTCATGGGTGCTTAATGGTCGGCTGGACCAATTGCTTCATTACTAAGTCTCAATGATCGACCAGAGTTAATGAAACTTAAACATTATGTCAAACAGTTATAATAGTGATGACATCTCAATTAACTTGAATCAACTCTCAAAGTGTGTTTAGGGTTCTCTTGTAACTGTCTGAGTGCCAGACATGACATGAAACTCAAATTTCAAGTACTCCAACAGTGAAATTTTTTTTTCTTGGCTGCAAACATTTGCTCCAGAGTGTTGGCTTGTTTTGAAGAAACATGTGGGGGATGCATTTATTTTCTGATTTCCATATAGCTCATTGTTCTTTCATTTTGCTTTTTTTAAAGGAGAAGCCAAACAACTCGCTATGTCTTTTCTTTTGCTTATTGCTGCTCAAGCATATATTTGAATACATAATTTTTCAATATAACAGGCTGCTGCATACTATTACCATGGACTGATACTTGATGAGGGCAACACAGAGAAATCCCATGGAGTGGCAATAGCTGCTTTGCAAGCATCAGAAGAGTATCTGAAGGAAAGCAAGAAAGCTTGTGAAACTTTCAATTCAACACCTCCTACATCAAGGTTTGTCAGCCATTACCCTCTCTCTTGCATTTAATACATCAGCATTGATGTTGTCACTAACATATAGGACCAGAATTAGTACCTTAGGACAAATCATTACATATCTGGATCAAAATCTAAGCTTAGTATATTCTCTCTGCAGGAATCCCCCTCTTTGGGGATCTATGAAATATCTGTCTGAGAAGATTCCTAAAGATGCATCAAGTAAGATACGAATCAATCAAGATCTTTACAGTGAAGAAAGGTAATCATCTAGAGTTGATTGTGATGTCAAGCTAGTTATAATGGCATTTCATTCCAATTCTACAACTAGTAAACTGCACTTTACCGTTAATTTTAGGGTTGTTCTTCACCAACACAATCAAAGACTTGTTCCTGAAACCGATTCTTCATTGTTGCCAAATGAAGTTTTGCATCCATGAGATGGACTTTAGTATTGCTAAAAGCACCATGCAATTCTATTATAATAAGAGAACAACATAAAATGCAAATGTTTATGTTGATTCAAATCATGATCATTAAACATGAAGTGGATTTTTTGCAGCCTGTGAAGAAAGTATGCTAAATGTTTGTGTGTGCAGGACATTCAAGACAGCACCTACTTTGCCAGATTTTGCTTTAGCACTAAAGCCTGATGACTACCAACTCCCTCCGTTGGATCCCTTATGGAACAAGGAGGATCACCACTGCTAGAAACTAGCAAAGGGAGAAAGCATGGAAAATGTGTCAGCAACATGTTCTTCAGCAACAATCATGCTATAGACTATTGGATGGAAACCAGTTACATGTGTACATTATTTGTTGATGTAAGATGGTGTCCATTTGAAGGATGTTGATAGTTCTTTGCCAATGAGGAAATCAAATATTCTTTTCTTTTGACTACAGCTTTGTCAGTGACTTAGATGGCTTTCTTCTCCACTGTTCAATAATAATTGGCTTGAATAACTTTAAGCAGATTTGTTTTCTGATAGAAATTATAGTTAAACCTTCCTTTATTATTATTATTTTGTTTTCTCTCTCGTGGCAATTCATTTTGTTTGTCACCTTACAATTTCTTTTCTAGATCTAAGCTGTATAAATCTGAATTGTGAACACTGTCATGCTAGTAATAGATTGAACAACATGATCAGATATATAAAATGACCCCACAAACCTGTTTCATGTAATAAAGGGAATGTAACGATCCTACTAATACTTTTTAATTCATTTGGACTTACCTTTAGATTTTAAATGTATTATTTTTGTAATTTTAATTAAAGCCTTTCATGTTGTGCAAATTAAACTTACCAAAATCCATCCTCAAAAAATTATTTTATATAATAAAATTTAAGATATTTATAAATAATTTTAAAAATATTAATTATAAGATAAATAATTCTTCCATTCATGATAGTGTTCCAATAATTACTTACGAGCAACAAGCCAAACCTAATTGTTGTGGGGAGAGTATAGTAAACACAATCGTCCTATGAGAGACTTGATGGGGGCACCAAGGCATCCGAGGTAGCTTTGAGATGATCTTCAAATGGAATTCGAATGTCTAAGGTGGTCTAAAGACTAGGCCAAGGTGGAGTCGAGCTCCTTGAAAGGTTCCTATATAAATGTCAATGTTGAGGGGAGTTTCTTGACTCGACATCTTTGATACTTAAATTAAATTTGAAATGATGTATAGTGTAAAAAGGGTTATTTGTAGAGAGATCCGACCTTTAGGCCAGCATTGAGGGTCGACTTTTATACCTGACTAATCGAGGAAATCACCCGTAACGATCGTAATGCCTTCCCTTTGGCGTTTTGGCCAAGGGGGTGACAGGCTCGAACGACCTCTAATAGATTATTATCCATGGAGGCCAATCAAGGAGGTGGCAGGCTCGAATGACCTCTCTTAAACTTTTATCTATGGAGGTTGACGAAGCTAGTTCGAATGTCCTTCTATGGGTTGTTGTTCACGGGGGTCGACAGGCCATAATTACATCCATGTCACTGCCCCCGAGGGGGTGACTCAGCTCTCATCTTCCACGTCAACACCTTTGTGGCGACCAACTGGCAGGCTAAGATTGGTTGTCAAAATGTTTTCTATCAATTGTCCCCTGTAAGGTGTGGTTTGGAGCTCTTGCAAACAGGTTCGAAGTATGTCGTTCGATCCATTCGATATGAGAGCGTTCAGGATCTCATCTTATGTGTTAGGTTTTTCCAATTTAGGTGCCTCGAGTATATTGGATCTATATTTCCACTATGATGGATTCCTTTTGATAAGGGTTGAGTTTTCTCAACTCATACATTTTGGAAAGCACATATTGGCTCAGAGTCTTCGTCGTAATATATTTATCTTAGTGTAAATTAAGTTTTTCTAACTCACATGTCTTGGGCATATTTGGCTTGAGCCTTCACTATGGCAGACTTATCGTGACTTGGGTTGGGTTTTCCTGACTCACATGCCTCAAGCATATTTAGCCTGGAGTCTTTACTGTGACATATTTTTTTACGCAAGTCAAATTTTTCCAACTCACGTGTATTGGACACATTTGGCCTGGAGTTTCTGTCAGAGCAGAATTATCTTGGTGCAGCTCAGGTTTTCCTGACTCGCATACCTCAAACACATTTGACTTGAAATCTCTATCATAACGAACTTATCTTAATGCGAGTCAAATTTTCACTCACATGTTATACATTTGACCAGCAACCACTGCCCCGATGAATTCACGCGGATACTTTCTTTGTTGATGTGTCGGTTCAAAATTATGTTCGTGCAAGACACGGGATGAAGGGCACCGTAATTTGATGGTGCATGTCCCTCTCTCTCTCTCGGGGAAGTTATGCTCGGATAACATCCCACCTCCATCCAAGAACCCCATAGAGCCATATATATATATATATATATATATATATATATATATATATATATATATATATATATATATCATTCGAACCACATATTTGAACTACATGGACAGTAAACTTAATGTTTCATTCATATGAATGCGAACTACATTTGGATCACAGCTGAGCACACTACAGACGGACTAAGTTTGTATACTTTTATTAGTCACAACTATTGCTTTCAAGGTTCTCATCCCTAAACAAATATCACCAAGGAAAAATGTAATAAAACCGACTGAATCCAAGGATGGCTGTAAAAAGTTACTAAGCTGTACAATCTTCTTGTACATTTGCAAGCATGTAGTCCAGCGCTCAGCAAGCATACAAACCTTCAGTAAAGATGTCAAAATTTACCGATAGAATCAAATACTCGGGGTAAAATCTGCAACCACCAAACTTTAAGCTTGTAAAATTGTGCACAAGTTTTAAAATACAAATTCCTCTTCTTCATCTCCGACTGGAAGTGCTCCTCGCTCTGCTGTATCCCGAAGTATGGCAGCAGTTGAATCACTGATGCCAAGCAAGTGCTGGAGCCGAGTGAGTTTCTCTGGCTTCGGGATACTCTTGAGGTATATGCAGTACAAGTCTGCGAGCTCTTCCGGTGAGGACCACGACAAGGGTTCAGCAGGGACCGCCATGTCACAGGCAAGCATGTCGTTGAGAGATGAAATCTGGTACATAAATTACAAATAATCTCTTCAGTGCTAAAAGAGCAAGGGGAAACATATAAAAGAAAACATGTAAATACAAGCAGTCATCCTTCTTCCTTTAGCCGACAACATTCTTCTAACTACAAATGACAATTACTATTCTAAAGACTTATTTTTCATTAGATAAAGTAAATGTTCCTTCCCACTCGACCATATTACTTTTTATACAACAGAATATCCAGATTGATTCCACCCAACAATAGGGCATCAAGTCAAAATGAACTTTAGGAAAGAGGAAGAATGAATTTTTGACTGTTGGGATTAAAAAAACAGTGGTTTATCATATAAGACAATACTTTTCCACGTAGATAAGATGAAATTTTCCCAAACAATACTCACGGATATCATGAAAAACAATCACAGATATCTCAAATAGTTTCAATGCAATACTCAAATAATGCAACACAACATGAGAGAGAGCGAGAGACAGCAAAAAGAGGGATGGAAAACTACTATCTAGAATATCATAAAACTATTCAAACAAAGTAGCCCCCACACAGCAAAATGACATTCTGCAAGACGATGAAAGCAACAGAATAGTGAATGGTTGTCAAAATAACTTAAGTTTCCAACAAAAGGAGACTAACTAAATTGCAAGTCCAAGTAAGAAACATACTCTGTAGAGCCCACAGAAGCAGAACTTCAATGCGGTCGTTATATAGATAAGAAGCATCGGGTGTTCATTTAGACTAAGGAATGTGATTTCCCTTGAACTGATATACAACGGACGGGATTTTCTGGTACAGATGTAGACCGCCACTTTTCAGACGGTCTAATCCATTTTCTTAGGGATAGTGCCCCCAAAGAAAAAATTCATAGACCCCCCACCCCCTCCCTGACAACACAATATGTGCCCATGAATAGTGTGTTGTTATAACCGTATGGACCATACCCATACTAGTCTGGCCATGGACCATCACTAGCGCACGCCAAGCAACTTGTGAAAAAGATACTAATAAAAATGATCTTGTAATAAGGAACCTACCTTAACCAAAATTCACATTGGAAATATGATGCTCTCCCAAAAGAACAAAATTCATATAGAAAGCATAATGCAGCTGAAAAAATGTATGTATAAAAGCCATGTGAGAAAAAATGCTTAATTTTAAGTAATCATTCAAAAATCAAAACGATGTTAATTCTACGTTTCCCATAAACCACAATTAATTACAGAAAACAAACAATCATTGAAAAATATAATAGAAAAATTCAATAATTATATGCTCTCTTTGGTACTCGAATTTCATACCACTCCATCTCGATTCCTCTGCCGAAGTAATGCAACAGCTTGAACCAATGAGTTTGATAGCCTAGTCTTGGCGAGCTCCTTAACAACCCCTTTTGCCTTATCAGCATCGATGCTAAGATCTGATGGAATCTTTTCATACACCTCGGCTTCATTAAATACACCAGTGCCTGATGAAAAGATCTCCTCCACCGTTTTCCTAAAGAGGCTTTCCCGCAAGCGTTCTGAGATCATGCTATCTAGATCAATATTAGCCTCTTTTAGCTCTCGGACCTGTTGAATACCAATCCTCCCTTGACTCACAGCAGTTTCGATTGCAGCTGCCATCTTGGTTGTGGTTATATTCTTAATAACTTTTTGTGCATATTCTGCAGGCAGTCCCACCTGCTTCTGAACCTCATTGAGCTGCTCGATTCTGGCTTTAGTTAGCTGGCCATCAGCTAGAATAACCTCAGCCTGTTTCATGAATGCTTGTTCAGCAAAGTTCCTGTGGACTTCCACTATCTCTTTACCAGTCATTCCTAGTATTCGTCCAAGCTGATTTAGCAGCAAAAATTCTGAATTGTCTTTTTTTGTAGCAATTTGAGCTCCAAATGGAACTGTTGTAACCTCCCCGGTAATGCAAAAGAGCAAGTAGGTCCTGTAAATCTCAGCCCTGTCTCTCTCAGGGAGGTCATCCTTGAGGGTTATTTCTGTCTGAGCTGGCTTGGTCAGCTTTGCTTCCAGCTCTTTGTTCGGATGTGTCTTTCTCAGTGTCTGCAGAGATTCCCATTCATCTTCCTCATCTATTTGTTTAGAATCAACATCAATAGGTTCAGCTGGAGCAGCAGGCTCTCCTTTAATATCAGAAATCAATTCTGTGACAACCAATGCGTTGAATGCTATCATTTTTTTCAGCTCTCTTGCAGCTTCAGTACGGTTCCCTGCCCCTTTGGATCGTTGTATATAAGTCATGAAAACTCTACGAACCTGCAAAAGAAAATAGGTTGAAGCAAGTAAATTTGCAATGCTCAACTGTCAATGGTTTTTGTAAACATAAAAGCTATTTTTTAGTTTTAATTTAGTGTCACAACAGAAGAAGACAAAATACATACTGCCTTGTTAGCAATGGCCATGGCTGCATCCGTTGTAAGCCGCAAGCCTTTAGAAGCCTTCCTTACAGAGTTTCTAACTTCAGCATCATAACCCTCAACACCTGATGCAATTGCATCTTTAACAACCTGCAAATACAATATACCATTAACAAAAATACAGAAATAAAAATAAAGAATAATAACATTATCTGTTTGCAAGGGTCATCAGACAATCACTGCCATAATTTGCTACACAAGCCATCGCCAACATCTTGAGCAGAAATTTAACCTATTAGGTAGATACTTATCACTTGCATTATTCATATAGGTTTCATATCAGACAATTAATTTAAAGATCTCTATTGAATACTCCAACAAATACCATAATTTCCAAACTATTTCTCCCAAAAAAATCAGAAATCTGAGTAAAAAATTCAAGAACACTTTTTTCAGGCTATTTTTTTCTCAGTGAACGCTAGTCAACATGTGATGCACAAGATGGATTGCTAACCTTAAAATTCATGGCTACATATACAAATTAAACTATGACCAACAGATGAAATTTAACTAATTATTTTATAATAACTTTAAATTTTGAAACAACACTAAGTCAAAAACCAAGGAGGCCGATCATGCTTGGTTAAGATTCAAGCCAAATATACAGCACCTGTCTCGATAATGACTATCTCAAACAACATTGTTTGGTTTTAACTATTTCATGTAGTCTACCAAGACTATCATAGAGCAAGTTGCACAATGGTTTCTTTCTCGATAAGACCTGTACCTCCATACAACAAGGTCACAGGTACTAACCTGTACCTGTACCTCCATACAACAAGGTCACAGGTACTAAACAGGGCATTTTAACTATATTATGAGGACAAGACATCAAGTGAAGAATGACTGAAATGTGAATCAGAACTTTAGAAACATAATGATTTTTTTACCTTCTCAAACAAGCGACCACATATATCAGCATGTGCTGCATCAATGGTTTCGTGATGAATGCAAAGAAGAACTCTGTAGCGTTGTAAAGAAGCAACTTCCTCCTCACTCAATTCCCCATCTTCTACAAACTGCCGAAGTTTTTGCCTGTAAATTTCTGCAAGTTCAAAGTTAAAAAAAAACTTTTAATTAGCGCTGATTGAATCATACTCGACAAAAATCTTCAAATTTCTTCAAGTTCTCCATTTCCACTTCTTTGCATAAAAAACTTGCCTCGTGAACTCAAAACATGAATGACCTCAATCACTGACCACCAAGCAATTAACAAATTTAGCTCTCTCACTGGAGATAAAACAACAAGCTAAAGAAACTACATTCAGATACCTTCGTGTCTCCAAATGGTCCAGAAACAAAAGGGATAACATGAGAAACATTCATCTAAGTGAGACAAGGACAACAAGTGGATCCAAAGTCCAAGCATCAATCGACTCACAAATTTCCATGCTTCAAATTCTCAGCCTTTATTTTTGAGATTGAACAAAATAGCAGCCTAGATATTTATTAAAATTATCCATAACATAAATATCACTCTGAAGTAGTGGACAAGTACTAGAATCATTAACACGATTTTGAATTTCACTTAAGTAACATGCCAAACTAATCCACCGCTTAAAAATGGTATATTTTATGTTTCATTAATAAAATAATTAACAATAAATAGGAAACTTTATCATAATTTAGGATCAACCAAAAGCGATTGAATGGCTCTCAGGACTCAGTTTGACAAATGATATTGCTTTTAACATAGCTCAATAGAGGAAAAAATCCATGCAACCCACTCCGAGTAGTTAGTACTTTTGTTAGTCTTGTTTGTAATTGTACATTCAATCAGCTATTCGAATCAGTTTCAATTTCTCAAAATCTAGATGACAAACCATGTGCAATTCCATATTCAAGCATAAATAATAGTCTTTTTCAGTACCTTAAAAAATGGCAAATGTTTTTTAATAAAAAATTTATTGATTTTTCCACTATGTATGTTGCAAAATTTCTATAACATCTCATCACCATGATGCAGAGGACCAAAGACTAGTTAAAATGGCATCAAATGATAACTAATGTTTCTTTACAAACCAATTACCTTCATGAATCTTGCTAGCTATATTTGGATCAAAATGTAATTCTTCACAAAGGTTTTGAAGGAATGCAGCCTTGCTAGGAGCTGCATCCAAATCACCACCAGAAAATGCTCGAGAAAGCCGCCGGCGGTAGACCCTCGATGTTACATCCAGCATGATGTTTTCTGCCTCACGTTTCCCAAGACCAAATATATTTCTCAACTGGCTCAAAGCTGTAAGCTGCAATTTTTACCAAGGAAAAGGATACAGAAATACAAAAAATTAATATGTTATGAGCAAAAAAGAAAAACTAAAATGTCCTAAAGCTAAATCAATTCAAGCATATGTGAATCAATTATGGTGATGCTCTTGTTTGCACAAAATTTTGAACCAGAAAATGTCACCCAAATTTTCAGGTCAGCCTACATGTGACTTGGCCTGCATTAATATTAATTTTATGATGCAATATGTTATTTGGAATAGGGATGATTCACAAAACAATGAATAAACTTCAGAGAAAACAGAAAACATTATGCAGTATTTAAGTTCAGGTTGCACCAGAGGTGATGGGCAGCATGACAAAGAATAGCCTACCTAACCAAATATATCTTTGTTCCTCTTCAAATACCCCTTTGTCTGGCATCTCTCCGGACCAACCCCCAGTGGACAATGAAGGCACATGCAAGTGGTCTCATGGGGTCTTTCCTCAAGAAGTGCAGACTCAAGGCTATAATCTTAGCTGGCATCATTACAGGGCAGAAAGACAGGGTGAAGCAACATGTCATAAGCTTGCAAGCAGCGAGCTTGCAAGAATTGTTGACAAAATCCACTGTGAAACCCTAATTTGTTGTGGTTTTCAAAAGACTCTTTGAGTGGGCCAGCCTAATGTGCCGTCAAAATATCCAGTCCACTGATAAAAGCCTGGTTCGACTACCATTTACATGAAGGAAAAGAGTTTCAAAGACCATTTCCCACTGCGAACCGGTATCCTTTATAAATAAACAGCAATAAGGATATCAAAGCATAATGAAACCACGTCCGATGAAGGCCACAGATACTCGGTTCCTTATACCAGCAGGGAATTTAGCTAACAAACATGTAGCAAATTAGTGATGTTCCTTTCCTCTGGCAATATATCTTGCAATATTTTTTCCAACATCAATGATAAAGGGAAAATGTGCAGTAGCACTGATCCGCTTTTGGGAGAATTCACAATCTAGATAAGCAGCAACTCATAGGCAGAGATAAACAAACAAGTTGCTCGGTACAAGGATCTGAATCTCGATGTAATACCATTTTTGGTAACTAGTCAGACTGGTACAGTACCAGAATTCCGGATAGTACCAACCAAGGTATGCAATACCATACCGTACCAATGTTTCGAGGTTGGCTAGGTACGGTATGGTACCGGCATATCGAACGGTACACCAAGGTGTACCAAACGATACACCAGGGCTTACTGAGCGATTTCCTCTTACTATAACTGTAGCACTACTACAGTATATTACTGTAGCACTGTAGTACGATCCGTCCGGTAGTGAGCGGTCTGTGTACCGGTATGCTATCGGACCGGTACATACCACCCGTATCGGACAGTACCATTCGAAATTGCATACCATGCTACCAACCCATACCTACCTGGTATTACCAGAAAAAATAATAAAAAGTAGATAACCAACAGGTACTTGTACTTGGTCAGACCAGTAAACACCAGTACTGATACAAACGAGATTAAATTCTTTGGCTCAGTACATCATCATTTCCTTTCGAATGAGGTGTGCCCAAAGATCCATGATATGTTGAAGCAATAGAACAATCTAAAAGATTATGGATTCCCTCAGACACAATTAGATTGCAGCAAGGATACTCCCATATCAAGAACTTTTATCACTGACAATGATTATATTTCTTTCACACAATACATTATTTAACCAAGTCAAACACATTTGCACAGCAACTCCCTAAAAGCATAAATTTTAAACAAAATCACTCAATATTGTTAACATTTAAAGTTTTATACATGACCCAGCCGCTGGTATATATCCATCGCTTTAACTTGTTAGATATGCACAGAGACAATTCATTTAGATACTTTTTTTAGGATGATATATATATATATATATATATATATATATATATATATATATATATATATATATATATATATATATATATATTGTATTGATACCTGTACTTCGTAGCTTGTAAAATATATTTTTCAAAAAATATATAGCCACTGGCCACAGCAAAAGAAGCTTTTGAAACAGGCTTTCACAAATACAGTTTCCAGTAAAAAAATCTTGCAAGCATCAGAAACACTTGATCTTATCAAAACAAGATAAGCTTCCCTCATGGAAGTACCAAAAGAAATTTTATTCGAATAATTATCAAGAACAAAAAATCTAATAATCATAATCTTACCAGCTTCTAGAAAAAGCAACTTTGCAGGTTACTTGATCAGTCAAGTATCAGCAAAATTTTCAAAACAAATTACATTACTTGCTGACAAATATGTATCAAAGGTGTAAATGAATACCCAGTGAATGGCTTCACTTTGTAAGATGATGTCCAAAGGCAGCCTTGGTGATATCACTGGCCTTCAAAGACTTGACCACCTTAATAGAGGATACTTGAGTACATTAAATGATCACATCTCACAATGAGAATTGTAACTATAAGTTGTGTCAGACAGCATAAGTTAAACAATTTGTTTTACACTTTACACTAGGGTGCATGGCATTCATTAATGTGCATAATAATCAGATCTCATAAGGCAAGATATAATTCTAAATGGTGTCCACTAGCTTAAGTTTATTAACCAAAAAATATACTGGCATAGCTAATTAAATGATAGCATCCATAATAGAAGCAGGTATACAAATAAACTTAAGAAACAGCCATAAATTTCAATTCTAGATTTGGTAAAAACCAATGCAGATGTCCAACAAATGTACCATATCAATGCTTCAACAATAGACAACTAACAAATTAAATATATTATAACCTTTTCTTCTTGAAGACATCCACTTGAAAAAGATTCTTCTGCATAAGTTCTATAAAGTAACTTTAAGTCCTCAATCTTTCTATCACCATCAAACTCCCCGCCTGATTACAAAAGGAAATAATTCTCATTACTATGATGTACTGGATTCATAGCATGCACTGGATGGAACAGGCAAAAGTTCCTTAAATGAACTCATACCTATTAAAGAAACAGGTCCAACACCCTGTGCGAACTGACCACTATCAGAATGCTTGCTTAGAGAAGTAAGAAGATTGTTGAATGCCAAAACCTTCTCGAGTTCCTCAATAACTTGCAGTGTCCCCATGCTACAAATTTTACCATGTTAGTGATAAAATTATCAAAAGTATATGACAATGACCACAAAAAAAATGTTGTAGAAGCTTCCAAGCAATCTCATGAAATTTGTGGTATGCTCACAGCAGGATTACCCTGAGGAAAGAAGGTTTGCAAATCACAAACTCCAAGCCGGCTGAACAAGATGTCTCTATAAGAACAAAATTAAATTATGTACTTATATTAAGTTGCCCATCCAGGTGAGTACACATCTGTATGTGTTATTGTAACAGATAGTGTGGATTAGCGATGACAAAGATTCGGTTGGTTGATGACTTTCCAGAACAATATACACTCCTTGATTGTACATTGCTGCACAGTCAAAATGTTGTGAACTGAATCCCTCTTTCTTTTGGCAATAAATTTTACATCAACTTCTAAGAAAATATATCCTAACAAGTGATTAGAATTACCTGTTTATATTTAGAAATTGGTGCAAGTAACAGTAATTTTATCAACTATAAAATTAGAGCCTGAAGAAGAGTTTTCTTTGATTCTACGTTTTTATTCAAATTAAATTATTGGTTCTTGACAATGATACTAGCCAATATCATGTCATATAAAATACTTGCTGTCCTACACATTTGTACTTGAGGGTCTCAAAAAAGAGGAAAGAAATTGTGAATTAACCAATGAATGCATAAATAGTTCTTTTCCCTGCGTTATGTATGAATAGTGTGAGGCCACTTTCCTTTCCCAGTAATATGATAGCATCATGCATGTGTGAGATGTGGAGGTGCAAGTCCTTCATTTTTAGGAGTTAACCCTTGAGTGTGAAATAGTATGGTACTTTTTTTTTTAATTTCTATATCATCTAAACTATTCAGCTCTCTATTCTATAGCTATCTAGAAGAAATATATTTTCTTTACATCCTCACGCACTTGCTAGATGTCAAGCACGGTTCCAACAGAAAACAGAATTGGTGGCACATAACCATGCACTGCACTAAGTGATCTCAATCCTCCTTATTCCTCCTCGCTGATGCAAGGAATACTGACACAACTTTTGCACACGACATCATGACAGGGCATTTGATAAATTTCTTACAATACCAGCACAGGCTGGTATTTGTTTAACAGGTATCACAATTATAAAAAACCCATCCAAGTGCTTCTGTCTAACATAAAGGCAAATCTATACGGATACCAAAGTTGACTATAAAAGCTTCAAATTTACTATCTATATTCATCATTAACAGGAGCATCAAATGACTACAATGAATTTCATCAGTTTAATTCCAAAAAAGTAGACCAATTTCATTCGGCAATTTGCCTACATGTCATGAGTATCATCATTTGATTAACATGTCAATAAGAAAGGATTTTGATGCAAATTTGAAGTTGGCCATCTATGAACTTACCTAGAACTTGTGTGTTTAGTATTAGTCAATCCTCATATTGGATTACTGCCAATAAATGATTTTTGTACAACAGTTTTTTATGTTATTTCTAAAGCCATGAGAGTCAAGTATTAGTCACCATGGAAAAGAAGCAGACCTATTTTTGCTAGCTTAGAAGTGATAATCAGGAATTTTCTCTGCCATCAACTGATTATGTGCTAAATATTAACTTATTAACAAGACTGCAAAGAATCAAACTGAGTATATAAAATACAGAAGGCCTCGAAAACAGTTGCTAACTACAAAATTCCATCTCGACTCATAGAAAAACAGATACGTGAAAAATTTTAGATACCAGAATAGCATAACAAGAGCATCCATACCTTGTCTTTCCCCGAGACTTTAAAATTGAAAGTGCGGATGAAATATTTTCTTCAACCAACTCTCTTGTGTGCTCCCTAAACATTTCACCAGCAATCTGCAACAGATCTTGGTCAAATATTTTTATGATAATTCAGTAATTTGATGAAAGGCACCATCACAGAATACCTAAAGCAAAGTATCTTGGGAGCCGCTTAAGCAGTTCACATAGGCATGACTATGCAGCTACACATAAAACTGTCTATATACGGTCCATATGCATAAAATTGTGATCAGTAAATATGGTTTACACTTTCTCCACAGTGCTACTATCCATGGTTCGCCTTATCGGTCCATACCGTTTGTACCAACCAATGGTTGGCACAGTAAGTACCAACGTACCAACACATGGTACGGTGGGGGTATAACAACAGACTAATATGTACCGCCCATACTGATCAGCTGTTGGATCGGTACGTACAGCCCATACCAACATCGTGGTACGATGAACCTTGCTACTATCCTATACTATATTACTCCAATAGTATAAAACAGGGTAAATATACATCATTGCATGTGTCTAAAACAAGATAAATATACATCATTGCATGTGTCATAACTCATTGCCTAGTAATCCAACAACAAGTCAACAACAACAACAATTTTTTGAATATTTTTTAATATTTATCATTAACATGCTCATATTTTGATCACTTATAGTGCAATCTTTTTTTCATTTTATTTTAAAAAATTGCCCTTTTTTCAGCACTGTGATATTATTTATGGCTACATAAATATAATCTCAATAGATGTGCAAGATATGATTTCCCTTCTCCAAAGGTTTGTCACAAAGAGTGTTGCAGAACCTATGATTTTTAATAAATTCCTGACTTTTTTCTATCTTAATAGATAATAATTCTGGTAATTCATGATTTTTATTCCACCTTAATGGAAATAATATGTTTCCAAATATAAATCCTTTTTTTATATCCTTTGAACAGTCACCAGACTATGCTTTGGTGCAAACCTGATGAACCCACCTAAACTAGCATAATTGCACTCCCAAATTCATATAAAATTTTAAAGTCAAATGGAACAAAGTCTAAAACATAAATATACTTTGTCGGACATTGAGATTACAAAAGTGAAAATGGCAATAGACATACAGTCCTGGTGAACATACCTGATCAGAAAGTCTATATAGAAGTTGTGATTCTCTAAGTTCAATAAGTTGCTTCACTTCAATATCTACAAAGAGACATAAAAAATACAATAGTTACAGAATGCACATTCAAATGAACCATTTAAAAGATATCAGTATCAAAAGGCATTTCATTAATAAATTCTGTCCAAGGCAATTGTTCCTGAACAATTAATTAGTAGGTATAAGGTACCATTCTATACAAGAAGTCCAAAACTGGCAATGTTCTAAACTGATCCATGATGGAATGCCTGTTGACTGATATTTTGTTCAATGACAGTAATAAAATTTTAAGGTTAGTTCAAGAGCTGACAAAGACCTCTACAGTTTATTATAATTAGTTACCTGATCAGAATAAATAACCTGATAGTTTCGATTCAGTTATACATGATTGATGTCCAGCACATGGATCTTAATTTTGATTATATCAGTTGGTACGGACCAGTGTTTACCAGTCCAACAGCCGATTAATACATGAACCGGACAACTTCTACAGCTCTGGTATGAAACTAAGCTATTACCGCCCAATAAGCTCACCATTCAGGCTTACCAAGTGGCAAGTGCACCAGTTCAAACTCAATCAGGCAATACCAGTACCGGATCCCTTTTTCTGTGTTTATAGGCCATTCACACATACTGACAGCTATCATTTGTTTTCTTTCTCGTTTTCATCCTCCATCACCATGCCTCCTATATCCCCCTCAACACCTCCTTGCTTGTGTTGCTTCGTCCTCATGTTGTCACTTCTTCTCCTTGTCCGCATCGCTGCCTCTTCACCTCCTATCAATATGAATAATCTCCTCAACCCTTCTCTCTCTTTCTGTCTTTCTTTCTGGGCCGGACAGGACCAACCAATACCAACCCATAAGGAGTGTTGGTATGTTGACCAATTCTGGTAATATACTAATCTAGCCATCAAGTCGGTACCATAATTGTTAATCCATTGAATTTATATTTAGATCACTGACATTCTCCTGAGGGTTGCACCTCTTCCTCAGCCCACGTCACAAACACTATGAAAACTGCTTATAACCCATAGAGATGAACATGCATAGTCAACATGACATGAGAAATTCGCATGGAAGAACCACATATGTAAATTCCTAATGATCACTGTCAAACATATTGATAGGGAACAGTAAAGAAAACCATCGTTTTGCAAAATCAAGTTCTCAATTTCTCTAAGCATACAAACATTCATGTGCATCAGTGAGATCAAGAGTAGAACAGGCACTCACAATCAACTTTACTATAATATATATAGCTACAACTATGATTATACAGCAACAACCAAATACTAATTCACTTCTTAGATGCATATCCATTTCCATGTTCCTCCCCTAGCAGTCGCAACAAACTTTGATGATAATATACTGCCAATGTTGTGAAGAAGATAACAACAGACATGCCAAAAGGAATAAAAAGCGACAATGACCATATAGCCATCAGGCCAAAGCCTGGTGGTTGTCTCCTAGGATCGTTGCATTAATAGTGAGTCCAAAGACATGAGGAGAAGTCAGGTTTAATCATCGTGCACAGAACAAAGATCGTGGAGGCTGAAGTCACAATATTTTCATATGTCAAAGAGTCCTTATTGTCAAGGAATGCTTGCATTTAAGAAATTGGAGATGATTTAGATATGAATAGAAGGGGTGGAAGAGTATTCACATAGTCATGGGCTTTTTCCACTATTTAAATGATGAAGTGGCAATACAGAAACAGAACAAGCATTAGTTCAGAATACACATTGATGATATATCAATAAAGTAAATGGTCTATGAATTTGATATGTTTAGAATTAGTTCTTAAAAAATGAAAAGTAAACAAAAAAAAAGAGGCACAGAAAAACCAAAAGAATAAGATTACAATTGTGACCAAAGAAAAAAGACCATTGTTTTCCCACTTATTAACCACTCCAAAGAAAAAATTGAGAGATTTCATTAAGATAAAAATAAAAATGTGAAGTGCAGAAAGATTCTAAGCTAAAGAAAGCTGCCATATAAGTACTTATTAAAGTGATTATAATAACAATTTTAAGTAGCAGATTCTTTTTTGGACTCTAAGCTACATAACTGACAACAAAAGAGCCTCATCTGCGCAGCTGAAGAGAACAAACAGAGGGGCTGGAAGCATGAGACTAGTAGATATTTTCAAAGGAGGGTGAAGCGGAAGGCCATTAAATTTCAATTACATGGGAGGAGTAAACTCAAGGTGTGAGACCTTCAAAATTCTTGGGTGCAACAAGATCATCAAATTTTATAACAATTTACCATAACCACTGTAATGAGACAAACTAAATTTTAGGCTATTTCCAACAAGTAGATGTCATAAATATGCTCACCAGTAGTTACGTCAGGAACAAATCATTTGTTATACAACTATTTTATAACAGCCTACATGACAAAAGTAGGAAAACAGGCCTGAAACCCATAATGTTTCATGAATACATGGTGGTTGTTACAGATGCATCATCAGATGCAAGGTGATGTTACAAATTATCGTAAGCATTAATAGTTGATCAAGATAGCATTGAAAACTGTGATATATTATATGATCTATCATAATTAAAAAATGAATAAAAATGTCAGAATAACACCAAATAATAAAATTTAATGAAAAACATATGGCCCGCACAAGAAATGGACTAAGTAAATGAATGTAAAGCATACACCTCAAACTCAAAATTTTAAATTTGTTTTCAATCAGCAGAGAACAAAAATTACCAGATAAAAGTTAAGGACATGTAAAGTAGATACTTGTGGTGTTACCTCGTCCAATTAACTTTAGCTTTGAAGCATACAATTTTTGAGCATTGTCCCGTATAGCAATTTCAATCTGGCATTAAATCAAATACATAATCCAAGAGCAGTGATTAAGACATGGATATTAGTTTGTCAGGAGAAAAGGTACAGAAAGCTCAAAACACAAAATAAGCTGCAATAAAATACAAATATTTTTAAATCTCACTAATCACATTATTAGAGTGGCATGCTATATGTGTGTGCTTGCATGGATGGCGGAACACAGGCAGCAAACGAAAAATAGAATAAGAAGCACATGGGGCATTAAGGCCAAACTAAAACTCCACTAACTTCAGCAAGCAGCCATGCATAAAACTTCAGCTTTTTGCAGCCCCCAATAACAACTAGGAAAATAATATTACTGATCTCATCAATACTGAAAACTGCTACCCAAATACTATAAACCTGACATATAATGCCTCTAAGAGAAAAATAAATACTATTCAATTTGCTGTTGAAAACAGAAACAGAATTAACTTCTATATAACCAAACCTGAACCCAATTTAATCCTGTCACTAGCCTAAACAAGATGACCAGGATAGCATTGCAAGTTCACTATCAAATGTATCAATAATGTTAAAGTGCATTGTTAGGATTCCTTAATTTTAGGAGTCCTTAATTTTAGGGATTTGATATTAATCATTATTTTCCTATTTAATTTTTCCTAGTTATGGTAGGATTTGATATTAATCTTTATTTTTCTATTTAGTTTTTCCTAGTTATGATGAGAGTTTTTGAGAAAATTTTTCCTAATTATGTTAGGAGTCCTTTGATGTAGCAAATTAGGAATTGCTATTTTTATTTTTGCTAGAAATCCTAGTCCTAATTGACTAAGGATTAAATAACTCTATATATATGTAATTCCTCTAGCTATTTTTCAAAAATAATAAAATACAACTCAAAGCCTTTGGCCAACTTGGACGTTGATCCCCTCAAAGCAATCAAAAGAAAGTTAATCCCCTCAAAGCGATCAAATCCTTATCTATTTTCTTAGATAAAGCCTTAGGGTTTTATCATGCAAGTGCATGCATTTAAATGTATGTAGAAGGTAAGAACATAAGACACTCCCACGGAATACAGAGGTTGGATAATAAAAACTCATTTCAAACTCCATATCCTATTAGGATCGAGAGATTTGCAATCCAACCTTTTACAGAGTAGCAGCCAACGCCTTTTTCTGTTATTGCCAATCAAAACTACCAAGCTATTCCTACAGAACTCCACTAGCTTATAACATGGCACTGTAGGTTATCCCAAAGAACATAGCACCTCACAGAACCCACAAGTCATCAGGTCCTGTGAGCTTGCATGTCATGTGAGCTTATGTAAGATGTGTTGTCAATATGTACATACATTAGAGAAACTCAACAAAATTTCTCCACTTGACAATCAACTTTGCAGAAAACAATGTCCATCTATTATTCACTACCAAAAAATTCTAGTGCTCATCTGAGAAAGAATCAAGCATACAAGTACCTGAGAATCAGTAACATTAAAAAGTCGCTTCCAAGGCAAAAGGAACTTGGATGCTTCTCCAAATACAAGTGTTGAAACATATATGAGTTTCTGAAATGCCTGTGCAGCAAAATTCAATGCTCTCAAAAATGATCCATACGATCTTAAGAAAGGCCTTAATGCAAAGACATACCCTACGTTGCTCTATGTCAGCTTCACGATCTCCTGTTTCCAACCTTTGCCTATAAATATGCCTACCAATCTAGAAAAGCAAAGGCAAGAGAAAAATCACAAAAAAGAAACTCCAAATACGCAAGAGATATTAATTAATTTGAACAAAGAAATAAATGATATTATTACCTCTACATGAACTGAGGCAGCATCTGGATCATCAATGCCAAGAGCTTCTTTAAACCTAATTATCATCTCAACTTCGTAACCCTTGAGATTTTCACTCCCAGGTGGAAGAACTGAAGACACAAACCTAAAATTGAAACCGAAATAAATCAGTTTTCGTCAAAAATAATAATGTTATTTCAAAGCGAATAATTTAAATTTTCAACAAGTTATGATTCCGGGAGGATATTATAGAAGTAGATAAGTAATTGCTAGAAAAATTATTCTTCTTCCAGAAGCTTTTACAGTATCACATGACATTGATTACAACATAGCTTATTGATTTTTGTATCTTACTTCCGATGGGAGTGAGAATCATCATATAATTTGTTGCCTTTTTTACATGTTTAATTAGGAAATGGATTTAGTCATAGGATCAGAAATAACAAACCTCTCACAGTCTCACTTATAGTTGGGTGTGTCTACATCTTTAATTTAATAAATGAATAGACCCAATGTCAATAGCAAGTAATGAGTAACTTAATAGTAATGACATCATCTCCAAGGATTCAAAATTCGGCGGGCACGAGAGGTTTTGCTGACTATTTCTACTCTGTCAATGCAAAGCGAAGGATGTTGCGAACTAAACGACATGGAAGCATATATAACAACATTTCACCAATTGTAAACTGACAATAGAAAATAACAGTAAAAAAACTACTTACAAGGAAGAATCATCTATCATCCATCCTCCTCTCTTCTATTCCATCTTTACTAGTCCACTTGTCACTTTCTTTATTATTTTTTAAGCGCTTATTTTATTGTGAAAGGAATAAATATTCCTCCAATAAGTCAAAAGATTGAGCACTGATTACTCTAGAGATCCCTTTTGATGGATGCTTAGTGACAAGACTAACAAATAAAGGAAAGCTTTCTTGAATAAGCCTTCTTTATAAACCATGCATATCAGTGGCAGTAAACGCAAATATAAGACTGATCGATTTCTTTATGCAATAAAAATATTCAAATAGCTAATTAAAGATTTTCTTATTTATAGCTAATCCTTGAGAAGATTATTCCCCTAACCAACTTGAAGAAAGACCTGATATAAAGTCATGATGGATCCTATCATGAATCAATATCCCTTTCTACTGATACAATCTTTGGAGTAGAAATACAACACAGTACAATAACTAAACTGAGACTCCTATAAGCAACACAAGATATTACCAAAAACAAAGGTAGATAAAAGAATTTGCATATTTTTGGAATTTAACTGATCGCTCACCTACTGTACAAGTCACAGAGCTCTGCTTTAAAGGCATCATCTTGTTTACTGACACCGTATCTGCAACATCATACCCAGAAGAACAACATAGCATTAGTATGCAAGCTACTACCTAAATCCAACCAAGTTCTTCACGTTTCGTTCCCTTAATAAGGAATTAGCTAGACGACCTTTCTTTAAAACCCAAAACCCTATTCCTTCAATCGAAGGCCTGCGGGCTGGAAAAAGATAATCGAATCACCATGGTTCCAAGCCCGAGTTCTGTTCGATAAGTAAACTATTAAAAATTAGGTGATAAAAGGAAACAAACTTCTCCACGATGGCTGCGACTTCATCCTTCCTCAGTTCCGTCGGATCATCATAACCAGCGACAAGATTGTGCAGACTGATCGCTGCAACCTCCGGAACCTTTGAATTGAGGGCATACACCGCGGCACCACCCGCCACTCCAAGAACAGCCGCACCCCCTATCCCTGCAACCTTAGAGCCGCCAACACGAAGCCCTAGACCGAAGCCGGCGGCCATAGCGGCGGCGGCGAGGACGGCGGAGGACGCCATTCTCGCCGGGGGAGGCAGGGCGCAGACGAGCGCCTGAGGGCCGGAAAGCTCCTTGGGGCCGCCAAAGACAGATGGATCAACGGCGGGGGAGGCCTCTGGAGCAGAGGCGGCGGCGGCGTCGGCCGAGACGGAACAGCGCGGGAGGGAGAGGCGGCAGCGGCCATGGCGGCGGAAGTGGCGGGGGGGTAGGCGGGGGAGGAGACGGAAAGGGGAGGAGGACGGGGCGGAGGGGGAGAAGAGGAGGCGGTGAGAGGGGAAAGAAGGCGTGGGTATGAGGCGGGAGGTCTCCATTTCAGCCGCCGGCCTCTCCTCTCCTTTCCTGTTCTTCTTATCCTCCTTTGGAGTACTTTAGGAGTGGGCGGAGGATAAAGAGAACAAAAGAGGGCGTTTGAACGCAGTTGCGATCATCTTAAAGGAACGAGTCCAATGGGCCTTGGGATCTCGGCATATGAGTTTAATGGGCCTACATACGGCCCATATCTTGATAGGCCTAAATGAGTGTGAATCGAATCGAATTGGCCCGAATCCGACCAAAATAATCGAGATAAAAAGGATCAACGATCCGAAGCACGAATCCTGCCCTAATTCTTGTATGGTCAACGCCCTCATTTAATATCCCTGCTCGTGCATAGTGCTTGCTTTCTTTTTTGTGTTCGTCTTTCCCATTCTCTTCGAAGGCGTTCGTCCATCGTTTTACTTTCCCAACCTGGCTATCATATGAACCTCGTGGCCGTGCATATTTATTTGACTTCATCTCGACGATGAAGTATACTGAAAAGCCTTTGTCAAGTTGGCATCTTGTAATGTCAATGCCAGCTTTCTGATGGAATCCAAGCTTTCTTGCTTTGTTTTCCGCGGTTTACGGCTTGGAGAACTCGCTTGCCGCACGTTTCATGTCTTCTTAGTTGGGAGTTTGATGCATTAGAAAGAAAGAGAGGAGGAGGAGAGTGGCATTTGCGGTGCAGCCTCTGCTCCGCATATCCGGCCAGCATTTGCTTGCACGCCGCTACAGCGTCACTATCTACCACCACCATGGCAGGAGAGAGATGTCAGGAGGAATCGTAGTTCATAGACCACATGAAACATAAAAGAGGGAAAGACGTCGGCCTGCTCAGGATCTCTTCTCTGTGGAAAAACTATGAATTCGAACTGACAATGTCGGTTTAAGAGTATGTACATGATTTCCTTTTTCTTAAAATTCTCCATTAATGGTGAGTGATTGTAGAAATTACTGCGCTTTAAGCGATTTCAATCCGTGTTGAAGTTTCTGTTCTTACGACCTTGCACAGTGATGTCAAGGGTTTTGTTCGTCGGCAATAGTTGTTTGATCTTTATCGAGATCTCTAATGTCTAAACGAATGGCAAGATAAAATCGAAAGAGTAGATTAATCTGCCTCTTTTCATCTTGAGCAAAACTCTTGGCGTTGCTAACAATTTTTACCTGTTTCTTCTCAAGCAGGTGGCAACTCTTATTCCAAGAAATGGAAGAAAGTTGGCCCTCCCCGTGGACTTCTGTGGCTGCACTCCTGCTCCTCTTCATCTCTATTTGGATCTGTAAACGGAATCATCAAAGGACGATTCGGAGAACTTCAAAGAAGTTGCCGCCAGGAGGAAGAAGTTGGCCTCTAATTGGTCATGGCCTTGAATGGTACATGGCTGTGGCGAGTTCTCATCCACCAAAATTCGTGGAAGATCAAGTCAGGCGGTAGATTAAGAGAAGTTTCACTTAGTCTTTTCTATGTTGCTGTAGTTCGTAAATCTACATACGTCAGATCAGTTTATATTGTTGAACAAAAGGAAAAGGGGGGGCAAATTCCAACCCTGTATTACTACTTGTGTTGATTCAATGCTTTGTCAAAAAAGAGAGAACTTTTAGCAATAAAAGCGAAAAGATCGATAGAACTATTTGGTTCATAAGTCTGAAAGGAAAACCTTTCTGCATTGTGTCAAAAACATGCAGGTATGGAAGAATTTTCAGATGCAATCTCTTCGGTAAACAAGCAGTTGTCTCAGCTGATCCATATTTCAACCGTTTCATCATCCAACACGAAGAGAAATTATTCCAGTCATGTTATCCAAAATCCTTTAGAGATTTGGTAGGCCGGAATGGGGTCATTGTGGTTCATGGACAGCAGCAAAGAAAGCTTCATGGGATTGCTATGGACATGATGAGGGCGGAGAAGCTCAATCTGAACTCCCACTTCTTAGCGGACATGCAGATCGTTATGCTTCGAGCACTAAGCACATTGCAGGATAACCATGTCGTAGTCCTCCAAGACTTGTGCAGAAAGGCAAGTGAGGCTCTACAGCTTGCTTCTATACCTTTGTGATAAGTTAGTTGTTGAATGTAAATTTCTGAGACTTTAAATTGATCTCCTTCCAGGTTGCTATCAATCTGATGGTCAATCAGCTATTAGGTGTGTCTACCGAATCAGAGATCGGTGAGATGGCTTGCCTATTTTCGGATTTTGTCGATGGTTGCCTCTCTGTCCCAATCAACTTGCCTGGATTCACCTATTACACTGCAATGAAGGTAACTGCACACCGTCTAGTATCTTTCCAAACTTCTGCAAGAGTAGAAAAGCTTGATCTCTCCAGCATGCAGAATTGTTGATCCATCGCGATCGCGCTAACGAGCAATTTGGACATGGCAGGCAAGGAAAACTATCACCATGAAGATCAAGAAAATGATAGAGATCACAAGACAGCAAACCAGGTCTGCAGGAGAGAATGGAGTCCTCGGGAGACTGGTCGAGGAGGAGAACTTACCTGATGATGTCATCTCCGACTTCATAATCAACCTTCTATTTGCTGGAAACGAGACGACTGCTAAAACAATGCTGTTTGCTCTCTATTTCCTTACTCACTGCCCCAATGCATTGGAGCAAGTGCAGGTAAGAGCTACATCTAAGGCTTCTTTTCACCCAACTTAGCATCAACAATCCATGCCTACTGCGTAAACCAAGTTCTGCTTGTGTTAGAATTCATGACATCTTTTCTTCCCCTACACCCCACAGTATCAAACGTAATGTTATGTTGATATCCGCTTATGTGTGGTTGAACAGGATGAGCAAATGAGCATTAGAAGAAGAAGGGGCAGTGACATGCTCTCTCGGGAAGATTATGAAGCAATGCCATTCACTCTCTGTGTATGATACTTGTTCTCAACTTTAGCTGAATTTTGTATGAGACGCTAGTCATAGGTGCTTAAACCAAAAATGGTGCATTAAAGACAGTGATTGTAGGTGAGATATCAATCTTCCAGGTAAGCTATAAAAACTCGAGTGGATAAGCAAGAAACCTGAACACGAGTCTTTCCTGTTCCTATCCATGGCATAAAGACATGTCTTGCACCGGTAACGCAGAGAGAATGACTACAACGATACGTGCAGGTCATCGATGAAACACTTAGACTTGGAGGCATAGCAATATGGTTACTGAGGGAAGCAAAAGTGGATATCGAGTATCAAGGTAATTGTTTCCTGTTATTTAGGTGTTCGTCTCAACTTTTCCAGTGTTTGCTAAACATACAAAGAAGCTATGTAGAATTTGGTAATTCTTGCAGCGAAAAAACCAACAATCCGAGAATGAATCGCCTCACTCAGTTACTTCTTCTAACGATTCTCAGATCTTTCTATTCCAAAGGGATTCTTCGTGGTTCCCTTTCTCTCAGCAGTTCACCGGGATGAAAGTATATATCCCGAGGCTTTGAGTTTTCACCCTTGGAGGTGGATGGATCAAGAGAACAAGGTTTGTGGTATTTTTGCCTGTTGTTTACCATGGTGATAATTCTACATGTTAGGCTAACATGAATGTAATGTGATTGGCAATCGCAATCGGATATGTTTGTGCACAAACATGGAGTGATGAAGTTCTTTTCTTGTGGATTTGAAGGATAAGAGAAATTGGAGAACTAGTCCCTTTTACACACCATTTGGAGGGGGTGCTCGATGCTGCCCAGGGGCTGAACTAGCTCGACTTCAGATTGCTTTCTTTCTACATCATATTGTTACTAAGCTCAGGTTTGCATTCTACTTCTTGTCCAGCTTTTAATGAAACAAATGTATGCTCAACTTGTTTTGATTCATGCACTTAGAGCAAAAATTGTTCCACAAAATGTCGGTTAGAGAATGAACAAAAGGAATTGTATTCACACAAACGCATACCCGGTGCCAGTTCTAGCAAGAATGAGCTGAACAAATGAACTTACTCGAAATGCATCTTTGGATCTTAACAGATGGGTTCAAGTCAAAGAAGATAGGATGTCATTTTTCCCTTCAGCTCGGCTAGTGAATGGATTCCAAATTTGTATAACCAAGAATCCTGATGAAGTTGTAGGCTGATACATCTGACAGAGTTGCTCAAGGAAATCAAGTTTGCCGGTTTTTCACTTTGTCAATGTACATTCAGTAGACACTGCTGGTTTCTATACTCATCACAAGCTTAGCTTTTATGCTCTTCAAAATGCAGACGAGGGTTTACATGTAGTTATGCTTTTTCTCTAGAAATATTTGTCATGAAAACCATACTAGATAATTCGATGTTTTAATACTAGTCTTCATTCATTTGGGCACATATTGTATCTTGTTTTCCTGGTGAAACTTGGTTGTGATCATTGATCTGGTTGTTTCTGATGTCTCACTCAAAACCAAAATGCCAACTAGAGATGGTGATATGCTGTTTTCAGAAAAGTGCAATCTAATTTTGAAGCTAGTTAGATTTATGATATGTTTGTGGAATTGGGTGACTTAAACAACTCATTATATCGAGCCGCATTACCAACTCGGAGTAAGTGAGCTTTCCTTCCCTTATGAAGGAAGTTTTCGTTAGGTAAGTCGATAAGACCTTTAGGGTTTTATCATGGAAGAAGAGAAATAAAAAAGAGGGTTTTATCATGGAAGAAGAGAAATAAAAAAGAGGATCGAGGATCACTTTGAGGAAATCAATCTCTTTGATCGTTTCGAGGGGATCGACCTCATTGATTGTCGAAAAGAAATATTAGAATGTATTAGGACTTGGACTATTGCTCAAAAAATAAAGGAATGTATCTATCTTTTGATATAAAGGTTTTACCATTTGACTAAAACGGAGGATTAATGTTTGTCCGAGACGTTGACAAAGTGGCCGGCGGAGATCAAGTTGGGCTGAGTTGTGGAAAGCATTGGGCCATCTTATTTGGGCCCGAGCTTTGTGAAGCCCAATAGCCTTGCGCAGACCGCCTTAGGAATCGAAGCTTCGAGGTATCGCGAAAAGGCCACGCCAAGTCCCCGTTTGTTTTCTAGGGCTTTTGGGCGGTCTCTCTCGATCGTGTGGTTTTCGCCGGAAACCGGTGGCGGTGACGTCGGTGGGCTAGGGTTTCTCTTCGCTGGCAATCTCGAACCATGGCAGGAAAGGAAGTGCGAGAGTACACCAACCTCAGCGACCCCAAAGGTACTCCTATCGACAAGTTTCTCCCAGCTGTTGTCATGCTCCGTGTTAAATGTTCTTGATTCGATTCGGCAGATCGAAAATGTGGGAAAGGGAAGGACAAGATCGACGACGAGGACATCACGTTCCAACGGATGGTAGCAAAGGTTAGCCAATCGGCCCTTCTATTGGTGATTGTTTCTTTTCTACCGATTCTATACGTTTCGTCGAGAAGAGGAATCTTTGTTTTGGTAGTGTTGTCTTCTTCTAAGTTGTTGCTATGAGGAAGGTTCGTTTCTTTCGAAGTTCGAGGAATATATGTTCGTTGTCCAACACCTCGTATGTGTTGGGTGCCTTTCTTTTGCCAATGTTATATCTTTCTTCTTCCATTTGGTGCCTCTTTTGGGTTATTAATTGGTATTTGTTTCCTTTCTTTAGCCAAAATTACATCTTTTTTGTACTTCGTCGGTCTCTGGTACGGATTGTTTCCTTTCTTTAGGTTTCCTGGAGACGGGCCTGTGTCAAACTAGCTGTCGCGCTTAATTTGGATGTGGTCTCATGGGAGATGGATTCTGATTTAAAACACAAGATTCGCCTATTCATCAATCCTAGTATTTAAGAAGTTATCATGTGAACTGCTACTTATCTAGAGAAGTGTACTCATCTCTGGTTCATATTTAGGTGTATATAATATCACATAATTATACATGTAAGATGAATTGTGCAGAATATTCTGAAGATCACGATGATATCTCGTTGTTGTAATGTACTGCCAACAACACATTTTCAAGCAATCTTTAATTTTTTTAGTTTAGCATTTATTTTCTCCAACATAGCAAACTTCTACTTCTGTGTTGAAGTTTTACACCTTGTTAGATTGGTTAACAGCCACAAACACGCAGGGAGGCACTGAAAGAAAACTTCCATATGGTGAAACTTAAAAGATGCCTCAGAAATGTTGATTTACTGGCATAAACTGTGGAATACAATTGGGTTGATGCAAGTGAATTTTTGATGTTGATCACTTGTTTGGATGTGTAGATTTCGTAAATTCATACATTTTCAGTTATAGTGTTCTGATAACATGCCCCGGCAGGGATATTGGCTTCTCCTGTTGGGCGGTTGATGCTAGCAGATGCAGGAAGTTGCCGGTGAACGCGGAGGCTACCTTCATGGGCGAGGCGGTACTTGCTTTTCCTTTTAGTAACGACATTATGTGTTTACATGATATTGCCAACTTTGTAGTGGTTTGCTTCCAGCTTTGGACAGTGATGACTTGCTGTATCTGAAGGAACAGATGGAAGCTGAGGAAGATGCTGAGCGTCTTCTACGGCGCACTGAGAAACAAGCTTTTGCTGCATTTAAGATATCCTCATGTGTTCGAGTTGCATATGTTGACATATTGTTTGTTCTTGCATCATTGTTTTGTTTTTCTTTCTTTCTTTGACTCTCTGAGTACAAAGCTGCAAATCTGGTGAATTCATCACCTGCACCTTTGCCGTTGCCGCTTCGGGTTGAACCGAAGCCCAAGACTGGCATAAGGTGATGTTGGACTTATCATTGGCTTATGTTGACATATTTTTTGTTCTTGTATCATTGTTCTGTTTTTCTTTCTTTCTTTGACTCTCTGAGTACAAAGCTGCAAGTCTGGTTGATTCCTCACCTGCACCTTTGCCCTTGCCATTGCCGCTTCGGGTTGAACCGAAGCCCAAGAGTGGCATAAGGTGATGTTGGACTTATCATTGGCTTACTAATACTGTAGACTAGTTTTCTTTAAGAAAAATCTGATTGATCATTTCCTTGATGGACAGGCAGCAAGATCTCTTGAAAAACATTATTGGAATCAAACCTAAGCGGCAGAAAGTTTCAAGTCCTAGTTCACTGCAATCTGAACGACCGACTGTCTCATCAACTGGAGACGGTGAGGGACAACCGGGGAAGAATATCTCTAATTCAACGCCATCCAAAACCCAGAAAAATGCGTGTCTGGCAGCTAATGTTGCAATGCAGGAGCAGCAGGAGCAGCCGGTGCATGAAGATACTTCCATGAAAACTAATGGCGACGAGGCCAATCAAAAAACAGAAGATACTGTTAAAAGTTTGCTAGGACTGGCTTATGAAAGTTCTGATGACGAACGACCAGAGGAAAATATACAACCATAGCATCCTCGGGAATTTTCTCTTCTATTTTGTTTTCACTACAAACTTAGTCGTTGTAGGTCTGTCTTGTTAATTTTCTAATGTGAGCAAACCTGTTGGTAGAAGATACAACTCTTCTGCTATTTTTACCCAAACCACATTCCACAATACATCACATGCAATTTATCTGAAGGAGCAATTTTTATGCTACAAACTGGACGTTTGACTTGCGAACATTATATCTCTTGTTGTGAGGATAGATTTTCCAACACTCACCATCAAATCCTTTGCATTCTGAACATCTGTTGAAAATTTCCAGGGAAAATAGAATGTGGATGGAAGGAGAACTATTTGTACTTCATTTTCATATCTTTCCTCGAGAAGGGCTTATCACTTTTGACATCAAACAAGTGGAACAGTCTAATTTTGTTTGGATTACAAGAGTTATGCTTTGTTCATACGGTAGTTTACCATTTCCATAGCTTGCTTGCTTGTCGTTGTGTGGCAATTTCCAAAGTTCTATACTAATCCGTGAAATCAGTGTATATCATCACTCAGAAGTTGATGTTGCAATGTTAGTTTACGTGCAAATCTGGCACAAGGAAGATTCTCACGTCACAATCCTTTATGGCTTCCACTCCGTCTACTTCACTCTTACAGAAAATTGACCGACCGATCACACCACAGTCGCACATCCTCAAAATTAGAAAAAGAAAAGCCCCACAGGACTGCCATTTTGGAAAGAAAGAGAGAACTCTCCATGCAAAATAGTACTTGTTATCTTTTAATTAGCAGTGTCCGTCTGCATCAAACCGATAAGTACGACACAGCAACGACCTAATCACACAAAGACGACGAATCGAGAACAATAACGAAGGAGAGAAAGGAGAAAAGAAAAAGACCTTGGTGTCGAGCGTGACGGCGCAAAGGATGTGGGTGTTGTGCATGGCGACGCGGAGGTACTCGTGGGTGCCGCGGGAGAAGTTCATCCCCGCCCGCAACAGCTTCATCAGCATCGGCAGCTGCTCCGATCAATCAACCGCACCACCGAGAACGGGCAGTAACTACTACAAGTGTCATCAAGAAAAGAAAAAAAAGAGCATTGGAGAGAAGAAGAAATCTGATCGATATCAAAACTATATACTCTTTTCTGTCGTCTCCTCCTCCACCACCCAACAGTCGAACACCCTCGAGTGAAAAAGCTGGCTGTCGATGTTATCATCGCAGTGGCGCTAAAAGTACGAGAAGGATCTCTGATGCGCCGTACGCATTTGTTACCCGCACACGTAATGTATGCACTTAATTATTTGATAAAAGTTATTTTGAATTTATTTTTATATTAAAAATACTTTTTTATTTTCAGTCTTTTGCGTAGCAGTAGAAATAGGGTACAAATAACACTCGCAGAGATGGACGATAAGATGGGTCAACCGGTTACTCGGATCACGAAAGCGGGTAAGTCAACAGATGGATGGGTGGTTCTCCGCGAGCTAGCTGATGAGTATAATAATTATGATAAGACTCGCGTGACATTAGCTGCCCCAGATGACGTCTCACACCTCTGTTGACCTGATAAGACATCTGATCAACGTGGATCGAAACGTCTACCAAGACACATTAACATCCTGTTCATGCTCGATCCCTCACGCCACGTCAACGACAATGTCAGACGCTACCAGAAGTATGGTCATACTTCCTGCGGGCAGGCACATCAGGCAACGGTAATTCTCACTATAAAAACCCTCACGCTCCGAGAGAAAAGGAGAGGAAAAAAAGGCATACAAGAAGACACAGCTTAGCTAAAGAAACCCCCTATGACTATCCACTAATTTGATCGTCGGAGGGGTCGGGTCGAGCTCCCCGACCCGACCTTTGCACAGGTGCGAAGGCAGAGGTCGTCCACTAAGCGTGCAGGCGAGGAGTCCTCTCCCGGAGGGAATAGCGATCCCGTCCCGATCGAGACACCGCAACCGGCCACCTCAGCAGTCTCAAGGAACGTCCCAGGGAGATCCCCCACCATCCGGACTCAAACCAAGCCACGTCGACCCCGAGGCCACTGCTTGAAGTTGTTTACACCAACACAAACCATGAAGGTCTTCGTCAGCAATATGTTTCTTTAAGCTTACTGCAATCTTCTGCTTTGGTATGTATAAAGAATTATACATTAAACTTAAATGCCACCTCCGGAAAAAGACAAATCTTTCAGGATCATAAAGTCTTGAGATTTCTTTGTTATGATCTCCGGTCACCCTAAGAAGGTTCTCTTCATTGTAGTTATCCTCAACATATTAACACGACAAGTTACTACGGCAGACCGAGGCAGTGTTTGACCAATGGTGTTGTTCATACGAAGTGTGTCGTGAAATAGGTGAAATCATGGTGCTGGACTTCAAGCTGCTGCAGCCATGACTTTGCAGCACCGAGGAGGGAGGTGATTCTCTCATGATCTCCTGTGCCAGCCATCGTCCACAGGCTCCCTTGAAGCTTGTAAGTGGCCAGACCAAATGGAGGAAGAGAGATGCGGTCGCACTTCTCTTCGGGTTTCATTCCATTCTTCTTCCCGTCTCTGAACGAGGTCAGATCATTTGTCAAGCTCTCATGAATCTGATCTGCATGAACATTTGGAAGAAACATCTCCATAAAAAGATGTAGATTTCATTGAGATAGTACTTCGCATCAATGCATCAGGATGTAAAAGAAAGCAATGAGTTTCTACCTCTACAGCAAGCACAATCAATGAAGCCAAACCCGTAAATTGTTTATTGGATGAGAGAAATCCAGTTGGCCATGAAATATATTAAAATAACACAAGTGTTTTGGTGTTGGATACGATTCATGTCGAGTTGCCAATTCCGAGGTTGTGAAGAACAGCATAAACACATACCTTGAAACAAAGAGGACAATGTGTGGTAAGTCAAGAAGCACACGGACAGATCCTTCACGCTTCGTCTGGTTGGGATATGATAAATAGGATACCTGTTGAACGAGAGACAGGACTAAGCCTTGAACCCAAACAACCTTAATTGTTTTGTTCCTTGTGCTAGAACTATCGAAAAGAATTGAGTCCCAAAGTCCAAGACATGTTGTTTGGTAATCAATCTTCCTTCCTCGATTACAGAATTATCAGCTAACATTTCATTCTTTTGACGAGAGATGAAAAAGAGATGGTTTGAGGCGTACCAGGCCACAGACATCCAACTAGCAGGAGAGAGCTCTGTGCTCTTGAAAGATGTCAATCCTGGGTAGGACTGAGCCAATTCAAGCACCTACTAACAGACCCCAAAAATGACTGAATGAGAGAGAGAGAAGAGAGAAGAAGGAAAGTGCAAATATTTTGACAGACAAACAACATAGGCACATAAAATACCTTGTTCAGTAGTGGAATCCTTCCATAAGGAGAAGAGCTCTCGAAGAACTCAAAGTACATGTGCCCAATCCGCTCTCTGGTTCTCCTTGCGTCTTCTAAGCACTCGGATGCAGCATCTGAACTGGCCAGCTTCTTGTACTCGTGCTCACTGTCATCGCAAGAACAGAGTTTCCAATCTAATCCATCTCAATTGCAGGCGTCCATGATAAAAGATAGCTATTTGGGCCAGAGGGAGCAGAAGAGGTACCTGGGAGCAGCAGGAGCTTTGTTAGTGTATATCTGAACACCGGAAAGGTATGGCACATAGTATTGGACTGCCATCTCTCCACTGTGCAGGCTGACCGGCACACCGGCACCGTAGGCGCTCCACTCGTAGTACTGCTCCCACAGGTCTCCAAGGTTGAAGAACTCCACGCTGTCCTTCCCGTCCAGTTGCCAAAGATTGCTCAGATCTCGACACCATGACTGTAATCACCATGCAAGAATTGGAGCTCAAACCTCTCCGGATGTAGAGAGCAATCATTTCCGATCCGAATTCACTCATATATTACGAGAGCAACACAAAATAAATCAAAGGAAATGGTTAACATGTATGAATAGTACTGATCGAAGTAATAAATGCATGACAGGGAGGGGAAAGAAAAGAGAGACCTTTGGGAGTTTGTGGGGCGGCACCGAAGGAGTCGTGGATTCGAGGAAGCTTTGGAGGTTGGAGCGGCCTCGCCAGCTCGCGCTCATCGTTTCCCCGCCGTTTTACACTACTGTTCTATGAACTGTCGCTGTCCCCAACCTTCCAATGTATTAAAGATCCAATCTTTTTCTCTCAAGAAACAAGAAGTAGGGGGAAGAGAGAGAAGAAAAAGAGGAAAGGAGGAGGAGATCAGAGCAGGTGCTCTGTTCTTGGACCAGTGGAGGCGAGAGGCGACGGGAAGGGCCCGGAAAGTCCCAAATCACCGCATGCTCGCTTTCATTACTCGTTCTCGAACGACCATAGCAAATCAACACTCCGTCAATGTTCGACCGGTGATCGAGAAGCGGCAGCAGCAGGGGACGAGAAGGGACGACACTCGGAGGTACGTGAAGCTTCAGAAAAATTCGACCTTTTCAAGCTCCTCTGCTCCTAGCGACAGCCCCCTCCGTGTTCTTCTCGCAAAACTGCATCTTCTGCTCCTCCTGTGGCGGAAGAAACAAAAGTAGAACAAAAAGAGCGGGCGTTTCCATAGAGAGTAAAAAAGAAGAAAGAAGATTACCTTTGTCGCCACTCTCTCCGATGGAAGAATAACGAAACTGAGCTCTTTAATGAGTCCGCCTCCCTCCCCTTCTCGATCTCCTCTTACGTTAGCTTTCTCGTTCTTTACTGCCATTTATTCCCTCGTCTCTCGATCATAGCGGGGCACGAACCGTTCCCGAGTTGGGAGGTGTGGATGAGGTTGCCCATAAAGTCCAAATCTAAGGAAACAGAGCGGAGTGTGGCAATCGTTGATAGGCTCGACTGGGAGAAAAGATCACGAGATTGTCAAAAGTCTTCCTTTATTGGTCTTCTCAATAAAGAGACTGGTGGGGTGGGGGGAGACGCTATGGAGGTTTCCGCAATCCATCGTCAATGAATGCAATGCTCCAAATGTAAACTTGTTGACTTTGGGAACCTCTGACATCGATGGATTCTGCAACTGAAGGCATTGAAGAGGGACTTCCATTAACGTGGAGTGAACGACGGGCACAATATGACAGCCGTTCTTAACCGGTGATTGGACACCATGAAGCAAGAAAATTCTTTGTTGGATATCATAAATATTTCCGAGTTTAAGAGGACTCGTTTCATCATCACGGAAAGTAAATATATTTATATTTATATTTAAGATATTAATATGATGATATTAATAATACATCATCACCGACGGCGACGGCGTCCTGCATCGAGGGAGAGGAGGGAGGAATATTCCGGGCGAAGGTTCCTCCGCCTCTCCTTTAGATAGATGTCTTCGTCAACAAAAGCATTGACTTGACTTGACATAATACATCCCACTGATTTGGTATATTTCATTTCCGAAAAGGAAAAAAAATATAATTTTAATAAATATTTACAGAAAAACATATCTAACAAAACTCCTTCCATACTTAAATTAGAAAAAGATTAATAGAAAAAATATAATTTGAAAAGTTAAAATATGAGTTACTTCCATTTTAGTGAAAAATATTTTCTTGAGGATGAAGTTTATGCCACCTTAACATTGATTGATACAACTAAAATGTGACCTACAATGGGTTTAGATTCACCAAACACGTATTTGGTGTTTGAAGTGGACAAGTCAACCTAATGGATCAAGCTGGGAAGGAAGGTGGAGAGACAATGACAAGAAAGTGATTTGGTCTTGTTGGATAACCCACAACTAAGGAAGTGGAGCTTAAGTAGTGGTAACTAATTGTATTAGGCTGTAATCATGTCCTCCATCACTTGGTGGGCAAGGTGGAATGCACCAAACCCTAATATCTATCGTTGGCTACTCAAGCCATTTCAGGGATTAGTCTCGATAATCCATGTATTTAATTTTATACCATATTTTCTTTAAGATTTTGCTCTCTACTTCGATAATTCATTAGGAATGTATATTAAAATAAAAAATAGATATTATTAAAAATATATGTATTCATCATAATTACTTCGGTATCTCAATTTTTCTTCAATCTCTTAATCATTTTATATTACGTAATCCTATTTAATTAGGTAAGATATATTATAGATATGATTGGATTCTTATTATAGTTATAGAGTAATAAAAAGAAAGTCAAATTATGATAACAAAGGACTCTTAGGGACTAAACAAGAATATGTAATATTATTAGAAGGTTAATACTACGCATGTTCTAGCATGTTCTAACTGAACTTGTTATGACTCCTAATTCTATTAGGATCCTAAACAAAGTTTAGTATGTGATGTTCTCATGTTGAACACACTCATTATTGTTCTAAACCCAAACACTGAACTTGTTATGATTTCTAATTCTATTAGGATCCTAAACAAAGTTTAGTATGTGATGTTCTCATGTTGAACACACTCATTAGGAGTGCTTGAATTAGTAAGCAGAAAAAGTAGTTTGATGGCAAGAGCTTAGAAACAACTTACTTCTTCCAATGGGTTGCTCAGATGGATCTTAAATGACAAAAATTATATTGCAGCTTACACTCCTCTGTACTATTTGATTGGTTTATCTGGAAAAAGGATAGTTTGGTCGTTTTAAGATTCGTACAATAATGGAGCATTTTTTTCCCTTCCAATTCACATCAGCAGCATAAAGTAAATCAATATGACATGTAACTTGTATTATGCATCTGTACTAAACAATAAAGGAAATGTTGGAGCACATCTTATGTTGAATCTGTATTAATCGGAAAAGGATGGTAGGCTGGTCAAACAGTTCATCTAGAATCTTGTGGCTCATTTTGACTAAATATTGGAGGAAAAGATCTCATAAATCAACTAATAGTTTCTATTATTTATTGACTGTTTCCAAGTAGGGTTCAGAAAACAAGAAAATGATGAGGCTGCCACACAAATCATGATTGACTATCTCTATTTATTATTGAAAGGGATGGCTCTCCTCGGCTCATCCTTGGTTCCCACGAAGGTAAGAGCAATCCATCAACTCCAAACTTTCCAACTTCTCATCCTGTAGCAAGAGAAAGAGGATGTCTGCACTCAGCATCAAGAGAATCCAAGCTTTCCTTTTTACCCATTGGAGGATGATGATGATGCTCCCGAGGTTATCAGTTTCATCATCAAAACTTTGCTTTTGCTAGAAGAATATATTCTTCAAACTTCTTTTGGTGGACTTCTCTATTTTATTTGCTCCGAACAGAACAACGCAACATCCACATATTATTTAAGGTTGACTGAAGGAACTATGTTTAAAGGTAGGGTTTACAAGGGACTGCACACAGTACATTACCATTTCACTGGCTGAACTCAAACTGCACCAACCTGAAAATGAAGATGCATAACCTGATCAGGATACGAGTTCACTGAGGCCTATAGTAGTTTCCCTGATGAGATGGCGGATAAGGAGATGGAATGGTGTATGGCGGTGGAGGATGTGAACCCGGTTGCTGTTGATGAGCATTGTAGTATGGTCCGCGCCACCCTGGATAAGCTGGTTGCCCATATTCTTGGTTGGATTGCAGTTGAGGATGATGGAATTGACCACTTGGAGAATAATAAGGGGCCTGCTGTGGTGTCGGATACGTAGGGTAGGGATGAGAGTATCCAGGCCTGGGCTGCTCTCTGGGTGGATGATGGTGAGTCATGGCAGGATGTGGTGGAACACTCTGTGGCTCAGCTTGTTGAGATGAAATCCTCTGAAGGTTGGATTGCTCAGCAGAAGGATAATTGTAACCCACTTTACCATCACCTTTGAAGTTGAGTCCGGCTAATTGCCTCTGCACATCCTCGATCATATCACGGCACTGAATGTTTCTGGTCATTACGAAGTCGCTGCATTGCTGCTTTATGTTTGTTATTGCATCCTGTTTAAAGAACACATGAGAAGATTAATTCTGTCATATCAATGCAACAACATGCAAGAAACATGACAATGCAGAGCCACATGATACAAGTTTATAAACTCATCATCAGAAGCATGCTTCCTGATATGTGATTCATACTTGTCTAATATAAGGAGCTTTCCGTTATTGTTAGACGTGTCAAAGATTGAACATCAGAGTGAATAAAAAAGATAGTCATGACTTTTCAGGAAAGATTTTATATAGTCTAGATTCAAAACTAGTATACCTGAAGAGTCACATAAAACTTCAATCCGTCATTGATGTTCTCCTTAATCTCCCGATATTTTGCTATTGCAGCAGAGATCTGCTTGTAACACTTTTCACGGGCAACTATCAAACATAACCCAATGTTAAAAAAAGCTTTCATGCAGAAAAAAAAATGTCTTTAATTCCTGAAAGCAGAGAATATAATTAAGCTTAGGCTACAAGGGAACTTGATGATTAGCAGCATATTATAAGAAAAAGGTCCAACAGATGAAAATTGTAACATATTTTATAAGAATGTGATTCAATGACTAAAGCTTACATAACAAGGTCATTGCTTTCAAATGCAGATCACAATCCAAGTTAATGTAAAAGAACATCTTTTTATAATCAAATTCTGAAGTCCAACCTCAGTGCTCAACCCTAAAGTTTAATTTCGACCCATAGCTTTTTGTTTTGCCTTTGACTTGATCTCAATAATCTTCTAGGCAAAATATATCCATAACTATATTAGTGTGGTATTTCTCTGAGACTATCTACAAGCAAATATAGCATACACATTCATATAATATATCACATATATTGACAGATTGCCTATAATGATAGGTTATATATGACATAACAAACCTCTAGATGAGCACCATACCATGCATACAAGTTCCAAGTTCCGCACTCCTATGCAACACCATGCAAGCATAGGGATACTAGTTTGCCATCTAATTTATAGAAGCTCCAGAAAATATTACTATGGCCACTAGACCTCAAAGATACCTACAAGACCACCAATTTAATCAGAAAGTTTCATGGGGAATCCTTTCCTCTAAATAACAAGATTTTTAGCCCGTCACCCACAACTCACTGGGTTTATTAAACTCAAGGTTCAAAATACCATCAGACCAGTACCGGTATGTACCAACTGATATTTACCAGACCAACCAATAACCGAAACCTGGACTGAGCCCTTTTTTTTTGCCTGGTCCAATCGGAAACTTTCTTAAAATTTTTTAGTCTGGACAGTGGTGCTGTCAACAGCCCTGTTTTTGATAATCAACAGCCCTCCTCACATCCTCTGTCCCCTCCTTCCCTCCTCTGTCACTCTTTCTCTTTGGCCCATGCCAGTATGCCAACCTACCATGAGTTAACATACAGGTATATAGCAGACCCATATCAGGCCGGCCAAGGAGTGAAACCCTGATCAAACCAACATTATTCTTTGACGAATATTATAGGAGTGAAATATGCACCTTCACTCTAAGTATACAATACATTGCTTATAAGAGTTTGGTAAAGAGTAAGGAGGTTTCAGAGAAATTCAAGATCAAAAGTAAACAAGGTGTCAAGAGATTACATTAAGAACAAAAGATTTACCAGCAAGCAAAGCAAGTTGAGAAATTAAGCAATCTGACATCTGAACTGAAGTGAGCTAGAAAGAGATTTATAAGACAGATACCTTTGTAATCTTCCAGATTGAATACAGCAGAAAACTCATCATTTTGTGCCTACAGAAAAAAAAAACAACTAATACTTAATCTATAAACAATCTGTACCAAATTGGTTATAATGTATAGAATTATAAATCACATTTACAGATTACAAGTAAAATATACTAGGTATGGTACTCCTCCATTATACC